CTCATAAGCACGTTGAAAATGTCACCGCTGCGGGGATTGATAGTATCGTGTTTGTAAGCGCCCGAACGGTTAGCCTTGATTTCGATGAGATTTTGTAACAGCCGCAGGAGCAGACCCGCAGGCTGAGAAAGGATGGATAACGAGAAGACCGTGCCATCGGTACAAGCACCGATAATATCATCAACAATGATGCCGGTAATTTGACCCGCAGTATTCGGACGGCGCCAAGGTGGACGGATATCACCGCGATCGAGACGAATTACTGTACGGGAAAGACACGCCTCGAATAGTGTCGGCGACGCATTGCTGTAAGTCATTACAGGCGGTTGGTAAAGACCCGTTACCGAGCTGCTTTTCTTGTCGGTAAGCAACACAAACCTATCACTGCTGTTGTCCTTTGCGTTTGGCAGGTCTACGACCAGATGTCGCGCGCAGTTGCGCATGCCGCTATCAGAGAATTCTCGGACAAACTCGAAAGTACCCGGGCGTGCTGCTTCAACCACCTTGTAGCAAAGGTGCGAGTGCTGGAGTGTCGAAACGTAAACAAATGGGCGAACGACCGACACATGGATACCTGGAGAATGCAGATCCGTTTTCCCGCGCTGAAACCATCGACCGGCTTCTTCATCAAAACGGTCGATAAACAAGGACCTCCCAACAATACTCACCGTGGTTTGGCTGTCCCAAAGCGCTATACCATAAACAGGTTCGTTGTATGTTGATTGTTTCTGCAAATCTAGCTTCGAGCCAGATTTTCCAGTGTTGAAGATCAGTCTCCTTCCATTGTGCTGAGTCGCGCTCGTCTGAATTCCGGTTCCAACGATGACGAGATTGTACTTTTTGCCTTCTTTGTTCACGAACTGCCATTCGACAATGGAGTATACCCTTTCGGCGTTCATCAGAGGACATTGGGCGACAACGAGTCGTTCTGTAGGCGCATCCATCTCTTGTTTGATCTCCATGTCATCGGTTGATCTGTCGTCTCGAACCCTCAATAACTTCATCGACGACTGCAGGACCCGTTCACCAAGTGGTGGCCCACGCCGCTCTTTTGCCTCCATAGTCGATACTAGTACTCGACGTAGCTTTTTCATGAACAGTACGTTGGTAGGCTTGGCACCTACAATGAGTTTCCGCGGAACGACCTTTGTGTCGTGCAGGGCTCGTGGGAGTATATCCGGAGTTGGACACTTGACGTCCGCATCGAGCTGCGAGAAAAGAAGGCGATCTCCAGCAACAGCGAACAAGAACCCGCCAAGGTTTCTCCCAAAGACATTCTGGTCCGGGAGGAATGGTAGCTGGAATATAGCTGACACTGGAGATTGGTTGTACTCAGGGTGACTGCGGTCAGTAAACCATATAGAGTCGATTTCAAGATGAGAGAATTCGCTTGGAGAGTAGCGTACTCGGCAAAAGTCTGATCCACAAGACACATATGCCGCTGAAACGTTGGTTTCACTAGGTGTTATCTTGGCTGAGGCTGCGCCCATTTGAACAGCGTTCCAAGATAGAGGTGAAATTCCTTCATGTTGTCAGCAACGCCAATCAGTAGCTTCTACTTCGTCTTACCACTATGATCAACTTCCAAGTGAGAACTCAGAAGAGTTCCATCCCGCATTGCACAGACTAGAACGTTTCTGCCCTCGTTGCTCAGAACTACAGCACTCTCACAAAGCTTTTGCAGGTTCTGGAATGTTTGGTGCTCTGTCCAAGAATCTTCCAAAGCTATCGACGTGCTATCATGCGAATACTTGAAGAGTAAAATCTTCGAGTCGAATGTGCTAACAAAGACATATGGGGAGCCGTTGATATCTAATATCTCTATACATGTCGGGTCGTGATCCAGCTGGTGCCTGAAGGATCTCGACCGCTCGAACTTGCCACTCTTGGAAATTGGTACGATCTCTAGTAATGCACGGCCACTTTCTCGCGACGCAATTGCAATAAAAGGGGATCCAGCGTGGGAAGCAGCCAACAATAGTGGAGTATCGAATGCTAATGACTCGATTTGTTTCAATGTCGGTCGTAGAAGTGTACGGACCTCTTGTCTCGTGATCTGAATCGATATATCATCAGACCAAGGACAAGCCGAGATGGTTTCCACTTCTCGCATCAAGTCGTCTTCGAGTGGATCGTCGTCGCTAGGCGTCTGGAATTTGTCCCAAGAGCCTTGCTCCCATGCTCCTGAAAAGTCCGCACGGCTCTCGGGTTGGGTACGAACGACACGGATCACAAGCGTCTCCGGCGGAAGTGTTATTGCGAATATAGCATAATGCTGACTCCTCATCGTGCCTTCTATTTCTGCCATATGGCTGCCATGGTCAACAACCCAGATACCAGCGCAGCCGTTGATACCACTGAAACTGTCATCCACAATAGCTTGTATTCCGCGCCTCAGCTCCGAGATCTCTCCATTTGGTCTGTTGCCGTTGGCGACAAAAATGGACGACCGTTGACGCTCATCTGGCGCGCGTGGACTGGAAAGCTGAGTTACTGCAAGGTCGGTGAGGGGCGTCCAGTTTGGTATCGTGTCGACGACAGAAAACTGACTTGTGCCTGCATAGTGTACTGCATATGAGTATTCAGCCGGCCAGGCACCAATTTTACAAAGCATACCGTCATTGCTCGCTCCGCCCGCAATCAGGAGATCCGGATATTGTTGCGAAATTTCGGAGCGATCGACACTGACACACGAGAAGGCAGTATCAATCCGGCACTGCCATTCGCCAGCTTCATCTATCTCTAGAGTACCCGAAGGACCCCGAACCACGTAGATGATACGCCCATCCTCCCTGGCCACGTAAAAGGCTTCTTTCTGATACTCGGGATTACGTGGGGTCTTATCCCAAGCCGTCCATTTTGGAGCTTGCTTGCTGTCACCTGGTAGAATAGACCGGAGTGTCGTATGATCGATTGGTACTATGGTATGCGCCGGGTCACCAGAGAGGATGTTCTTGTAGACGGAGATGTGGTCGTCTGAAACCAGAAGAAAATCGGGACTACGACGAAGAGGAATGAGCAGAGAAGGCACCATGTCCTCTGAATAGGTTAGCCGAGCCCATCTGCCGTGTCATGCAGTCTTCCACTTACCAAACTGGACGAGATAGCGCTCTGTCCGTGGGGTTGCTCTGCTAAGATCTTGTCTGCAGTCCCAATCGAAGCAAGTAAGTCTGGTCCTTCCTTCCAATACGACCACGAAAAGCAACACGACGTGAAAATCGTCATGCCCGCCTCCCGATGACAGAAAGTCCATATGCATGATCTGCCCTTCGATTGATATAATCCGCTCGTCTTCGATAGGCGCGGTAATCTCGTTGCCCTCTCTGGCCTGCCTCCTCCATTTCTCCATAGGCTTCGTCTTATATAGGATGAAGCGCCCTTCGTGCGCTGCAACTGCTATCGCGCGGCATTTGGGATCTATAGCGAGGAAATTTCCAAGACGATCGAACCGGGAACTTCCTGCAGGTAGCCTGACAGTTCTGTGGCTGAAAGTGGTAGTACCTGTCTTGCTGTGCTGTGCCCATAAAAACATTAATGATCGGTTGGAAAGACTGAGTACGATGATTTCCGGAGGCAGCATATTGCCTTCTTCTCCTGTTGTTGGCTTTCTTTCGATGTGCTTCATGTAGTTCCCATGTAATGGAAGACCAGTACCTTTGGATGAAGGTATTTCGCGAGGCTCACCAAAGACCTTGGCAGTAAGGATGCGACCACCGTTGAAGTTAGTCTTGGAAGCCACATGGTGAATATGGCCATAGTCACGGATCTCTTTGAGTTGTATAGAGTCCTCGCCAACCATGACGATATCTATGAGGTCCCTATGGCGTATGTTGGCCGGGAGAATGAGCTTGCTCAGCGGAGTCTCTACGACTGTCTGCGACAGTATGCCGTATTCGGGTATCTGACCTGATGACCTGGTAGTAGTATCCCGCATTTCAACGTCTTCCCGAGGAGCGTTGGCCATTATCTGATAAGGGTCGAGTGGTCTTGAAACCCACTCACCGTCGATGAGGCTGAGGCCTTGGGCTTGAGCCATTTGTGATCAAGGAATGCTCAGGAGACTGACGGCAAAATGGATCTTGACAATGCCAAGCAAGCGATTTCTGATGCCGTGCACAGTACGGGATCAGGCCAACGCAGGTAGAAGCAACGAACGCACAATGTTCAGAGCTGAGATAGATGACATAGTGCAGCCTGCCGGGGCAGGCTTGTCAGACACGTGATGAGGCAAGGAAAATCAGTAGTAGCAGCTGAAATTAATTGAAGCAACGGACAGCCCGTCGAATATCGCAGGGGCTGTAGTGGATAGTAGCAGTGTTGAGCAGAATAGCAGCAGCGACGTGAGGCAACTGCAGCCGGGATACCTTGGCTTACTGAGGCGGGCTGCTGCAATAAGATGCTGTAGCGCCTTTGGCACACTACAAGAATGCAAAAGGCTAGCAAGTGCGCCCACTACTAGCACGTGAGGCACGAGAGTATACCCGCGTACGTAGGTAGCGTGCCTTGAATGTCAAGATGGCTGGGGGATCTAGATCACCAGATGATCGTGCAGTATGGAGCACGATCTGAGTAGGCTCGGGATGGCTATGTGAGTGGGTTGCAAGCCCCAGCGAGGCGGCGCAGTAGCCGGCCAGGGTGTGAGGAGCCTTGGAGCGTTCGTTGGTGGGTGTGAAGGTGTCGTGTATGCAAGGAAGTGGCTCCAACACTACTCATTTGGCTGCACAGCAGCGTCTCGGGACTGGAAGGCTGTCGGCGAACAGGTCCAAGAGCAATTTCGAGTGGTGTTGTCGGGTTGCACGGCTGTCGTCTCACGTGCAGGCAGCGGGTGAAAGATGTCGATGGGCAAGACTGGAAACGGCATGTCCTAGTAGTTGACATTCACAGTTCCGTGGGGTGCCAAGCGCCTCGGCACGACAAGCAGGAAGGCGCGACCCGTCACGTCAACCTGGCACCAGGGACGCCGGCACGAAGCAGCATGTAATCCACCAGACAAACACTTTGTCCCCCTCTGCATCTTTTTCTGCGCTCTCCTGCGCATACGAGGCCCACGTTGGCCACGTCATCACGCCGTTGTTCCTTGTTGCTGAATATCGAGGGGACGTCTCGAGATGCGGGCATTGTCATGGCCTCTCGCACTCCCTCCGGCTCCGTGTCGCGCTCAGTGAGCTCTGGCAGCTTACCCTCACGACACGCCACGCCCGTCTCCCAACTCACGCCTACCGAAAAGGAGAAGGAATCTCTCGTTCGCGCAGCAATCGACAATGGCGACGTCACCGCCCTGGTAGACCTTGCTACGAGCCCGTCTGGCCTCATCAGCGACACCTTGCGTCGCGCTGCTTGTACGCCTCTACCCGCACAGATTTCCGTATTAGGCTGACACGATGTAGGGCCCCTCTTGCTAGGATGTTCTGATGACGACTTGGGGAAGGAGCCATGTGATCATCTTCCCGAGCACAAGGACGAGCACCAGGTTAGCTTGGACGTTAACCGCGCATTTGTCTACTACCCAAAGAATGGTAAACGCCATGTAAGCTGTTAGTACTTGTCTCTGTGCTAACATGGCCAGAATCCGAGAAGCAGCTTGATCGTCGAAAGCAACAGCTCTCCCAGGTCATCCTCCATGTCCTGCGCCGTCACCCCACACTGTGCTACTTTCAGGGCTACCACGATATCGTGCAGGTCTTCCTACTCGTCCTCGGGCCCGAAGATGCCTCCGCTGCCGTCGCCCGACTAAGCCTCCTACGCATTCGTGACTTCATGCTCTCATCGCTCGACCCAGCCCTTGCCCAGCTCGAACTACTGCGACCGATCCTCCGCGCTGCCGATCCCGTTCTGTACGACCATCTCCCCAAGAGCCAGCCTTCGTTTGCGCTTGCTGGCACAATTACCATGTTCGCCCATAATATACAGGACTACAAGGATATCACGAGGCTATTCGATTTCTTTTTGGCCCGACATGCTGTCATGCCCATTTATCTCTTTGCAGCCGTGGTGCTGTCCAAGAGAGAAGAGTTGCTGGAGTTTGACAAAGAAGATGAGGACATACTCTATGTTATGCTAGGCAAGCTGCCAGAGCCTTTCGACGTCGAGTTTCATATCGCTCGAACCGTTGAACTGTACGAGAGACTACCTCCTGCGTCACTCAACAGTTGGGAGTGGTGGCGCATCTCATCTTCCAGCGTACTCAAGTCGTCTGCAACAAATGCCAGTCTGCGTCATCTCACATTGGAAGACGGAGAGACGTTTTTCTTGCAACAGGAGCAGGACCTCCGCCGCGAGCAGGCTCTGAGGCGCGCAGCCAAGACGATACAGTACATCAAGCTGCGTATTTGGTACCACCGCCGCAGGTATGGAGCCGTTGGCCTTGCCATAGTGGTAGGTACCTTTGCACTATGGCTTGGCAGAAACGGAGAGCTCAGCACTCGATATCCACTCCTCGGACCGATGGGCGACTATTTGATGAGATTCCTTGGTGGTCCAGCATAAAGAGGGTGAACAAGGAGTCAAGTGTACAACAAAAGTGATTTCGAAGCATAGCCTGGCGCTGAAGAAAAAAGTCGGCGTACTGCACCTTGGCGCAACAAGAAGATAAAAGTTTGACAGAGACATTTGTCTCGAATAGAGGCGTCAGGATGGAATAGCCATCTGGCTATACTTTTACCGTTGGTGATACTTCCCTGTCAATTATCATCTATCACTATTGCCACAGTTCCGACCATGCAATTCTAACTTGCTTTCTATGACGCGTTCGACGAGCCGCTGCAGATTGTACTCAAAGTCACAATACCCACAACATGGACACCAAAACCTCGTTAGTCAATGTCGCGCTGTTTTTCCCTTTTCAATCCTTGGGAGACTCGACACAACTTACTGCATCATGTAACGCGCAAGCCCATGTTTTACAGTACTGCAATTGTCCTGCTTCCGTCAACGCGGACTTTGCCTATGGCATCGTCAGTCATGATTCTTCTCCATCACGTGTCTACCCTCGTTCCTTATCTCGTCCCTGTTATCTTCATGTTTCCTTGTTGAGGCAAAAGACATACCTGCATGCAAGCCGCAACTTCCAGTTCGCAGATCTTCATACAGGGAATCTATGATAAAAGAGCCGCAAGTGCGGGGATTCTGACCGTGTTCTTGTAAGGAATTTAGGTCGTTGCCTTGGGATTGGTTGTCCGTGTTGATGCTATGACAGATTCAGGTGTCACTATTATGTTAAGATGCGAGTTCAGTGAGTAAGTTTTCAATTGTGGTAGAAGACTATATATAAGAATGCTCACCATGTATACCAGGCTGTTTGATATACACGCAGCACCTTCCGGCACACATCAGTCCAACGGCCATTCAGGCTACCTGGTGAGCAACTCAGAATGCTCCACAACGGCATATCACAGTGTGGGTGAGCCATGGATCAAAGTGTTTAGATCAGGCTCTAGCACTTCGCCGTACCCGAGGTGGTATGTGCAGCGATCGCAGTCTTTGCACTATCGTGGAGTCAGTCTTCTTTCTTCAGTGTCAAGAGCGTTCAACCTACATCCCAATCCTCGCACATTCTCGCACGGCACTTCTCCATGTCCTCAAGCTTCGGTGAGCCCTGTCATCGTGTTAGTCCATCCTCCGCAGGGCAAATTTACCCCCAGTCTACCATTGTAGGAATGAGAACGTTAGAAAGTGGATAAAGAGAGTACTTACAGCTGAACAGTACATGTACCGCATAAATTCGCAACTACTGACGGTCTCACATACCCTGTTGTCAGGATAGAGATACTTCGGGAAGCCTATGCAGTCCATGTTCCCCTTGGGGTATTCGGGCGTAGGCCCAACAGCTTGGCAGGCACCGGCCCTGTGGCACTGAATCGGTTCTTGCCATATGCCGTTGATGCAAACGAACATGAAGCGACGGTGGGTATCGCAGGCATAATCACCGTGGGTGCACTGAGTGCTATTGGTATGACGCTCGAACTTCGGTGAATCCATGCTTCCTGTCCCACAGTGCGCTTGGCCTGGCCTGTCGGTCTTGCAATCACCGGGAGTGGTGCATTTCTTCTCGGTGTGGTACACTCCATCTTTGCCGCACAGCTGAAGGGCATATGCGTCAGAATCGCACTTCCTATCTCCCGGCACGCATAGCTCTGGTACTACGGAGGGGAAAGGCGGTTCTACCCAGCATTGCGCGACATCGTCACGCTTGACGCACTTGGACGGATTGGGACACATTGTCGGTTTCCAGCTGTTCTGTTCGCACAATTGAAGAACATTGCCCAAGCAGCGAGATTCACCAATCCTACACCACTCAGGTATTGCCGTGGGAGAACGTAGAATGAGAAGTGTGGACGCAACGATCAGTTGACAACGAGCATCGTTGTATTCTGCGCGACACTCTTCAGTATCGCTACAGCTTTCGATTTTGACCCAAGCGTTTTCGGTACTACACATCTCAACTTGTTCTCCGCTGCATCGCCTCTCGCCAGCAGTGATGCAATGCTCGAAAACACTTGGGGCACCTTTAGAGATGTATGACCTTGATTCAAGGTTTTTCGAAGGAGAACGTGTAGGCGGCATGTCGTTCATGAAGGGAGCCCGAGCAATGGCCCGGTGTGAAGATCGTAGGCACGGTTCGACAACACAATCTTGCTCAGTACATTGGCTGGGAGTGTTGGGGTCATAGGCATCGATCGTGCAGAACTCAGTGTCGCTACATGCTTGGATAGGCACATAGTTGCCAAAAGGATCACATTCTTCCACGTTGTTGGCATGGCAGCGCTGAGTACCTGTCTTACACGGAGTCTCTGGAAGTGGGATTCTAACAGAGAAAACTGTTGGCAGAATGGTGACAACAGTCACGAGAATATCGAGGATTTGCATCTCTGGTGAACGTGTTCAACGAGGGGGGATTGGTAACGAGTAAAAGTTGGCAGTAAAAAAGCCAGAGAGAAGGGTGTGTGAATGGAGCTTGGTGTTCGAGAGAACGCATTGATATAATCAAAGAGAAACGGAGAGAACGGGGAGAATGGATGGCGGTATAAGGGTGAGCGTTTGTTGAGGTAGGTGATAGGTGGGTCTTAGGTTATAGGGAAAGAGTTCCTCAGAGACAATCAACGCCCAGACTATGACTCGATTAGGCTTATTAAGTATCCAAATGCTGCCTATCAGGAAAGTTAGTATTCGAATTACACCATGCAGGTTCCTGCGCGAAACATGATTGTGCAGTTGTGCCACGTCGTAAACGATATATTTGAAGTGTTTGTCGGCCTGCGACCTTTCTGTTGGCAGAACTCCGCCTAGCGCCTTGCATAAAGCTCATGTCATGTTGTAAGGAATTATACTAAGAGTTATAGCAGTCTGGCCTCTCAACTTTGGCCACTGCATGTTTTCGGCCAGGTGTTGGCCCGCATGAACGCCTTTGGTCGAGCTTCAGACAATGTCGGCCTCTTATTTCGGGCCTGTGCCATAACCAGCATCGTTCTTGGGGTCCTCTGCCAACAACTCTGCGCTGTATACACGCTTGTAGTCCTGCTCACTCCAGCCCTGTTGTTGAGCGAGACCGCTTAGGCTCAGGCCTCGTGACCTAGTTTTCTTGATCGAATCTCCCTGCGGGGCACCGGCGGGTGTTGATCCGTAGTTAAGGGGTACTACTCCCTGACCGGGGGGTGGGAAGGGGGTTGTGCCTGAAGGTGACGCGACTGTCTGGCCAGCAGTGACGTTCTCGGGTGTTTCAGAGTCAGCAGAGAAGTCTGACGAGACGGATGCTTGTTGCGCTCGCTTCAGTGCGTTCTCGTAGTTGGCCGAGCTTGCTCGAGCCATACCAGGTCGACGGTAGCCAGTGTAAGCCCTAACAGCTTCAGTTGGCCCATTCTCTGTGGCTGTCTCGTTTCCTCCACCAGCGCCCATCAACGGCAGTAGACGTGGATCAGGAGCTGCTGAGTCGGTCTGCGACACGCTGTTGGAAGTGAAGGCAGCTTCAGCTTCGGAACGTGTGTTGGGTGTGAGGCCGGATGGGGTAAAGGCGCCCGATGAAAGGAAGGAGCCCTCGGTGGGCGGCATGAGAGATGGTCGTGAGCTCATGGTGAAGATGGTGTGTCACTGCGAGGTCTTGGTGTAAGCTGGCAGATTCCGCCCATTGGCTGCGCGCATGAACGTACGTGAAATGTGTACACTAAACCTTGGGAGATCTGGTAGCGCGTATCGTGACGGTAGTGTGATTGGTGAGTATTGTTGCCCTGTTCGTTGGACAGTTAGCAGAGTGGTTCCCCTGAAGGACCGCAGAGGCACCGTACCGAACGCTCAGGGTTCTTGGATATGCAGGTGCAGTAAGAGAATCGTAATTCTTCGTCGCCGCCTCCCTTAAGCGACTGTTATCTATTTGAACAATAGCGGCTGATGCTATGCCATCATACCTTGGCGGGTGACGTCTTTTCAGGGTCCAGACTTGCGGGGCCCCTAACCGTACAGGGCAGCCATCCGCGCTGCTCAATCAACGATGCTGTCGATTGCAACCAGCCGCAAGGGTTTTGCTGATCGCTTACCTACTTGATGTGGAGTGGCCTTTGTGCAATAGGCGGGAATGGTCCGGTTGCAAGCTCTGAGCGGAGAGAAGACGTGCACCATGCATGTTACGGTGCGTCAGGGCGTTGTTGACTTTCGGAACACGGGACATGGGTGAGTATTGATTCTATTAACCTCAACTGAATATCCACCCACTGTCTACCTACTCCCATTACTGCGAGATCGAAACCCTAAACCCCTGATGTGTTTAAACATTAACTCAGATACAGCATACGGCCACTGCGCCGAGTAACATGATCTTGCCCTCAAAATATCAGGGCCGTTACGACGAAACTGCGAAGCTATGAGACAGTATCTAAGATGATGTCAGCGAGGAACTTCGCTAGCAACTGATTCGAAGTCCTTTAACATACAGCAGTACTTTGGCCGCAAAATCGTTCAACAAATGTTGACCTAAAGGTTGGAGTGGCAAACACCAACGGCCGCCTCCACGGTAGCAGTAGCCTTGGAGCTGCACGCGACGAGGTCAGAGATAGCAACCGAGACATCAATGCCGACCTTGGCTCCAATAATGGGGAGATCAATGTCGACATTGGCTTCGATGGCGGCGAAATCAATGCCAGCGCAAGTAGCGATAGCACCGAAACCCGTCAACCGAGCGGCAGTGACGCAAGTACCACACGCCGCGTTTTGGGAGCAACCTGATCTGGCTGATTTTATGCGGGCATCGAGGGAGGCCAGAAGTTGGCGTTCAACGCGACGAACGGATTCAAAAGCGTCAGTGACCTCGACTTTGTTGGTTACGGCTGCTGGTGCAAGCTGGCGGCGTGCGGTCTCCGGAGCGATCATAGCAGAGAGCTCGACCGAGATGTCAGTGAAGACAATTTGTTTAATTGGAGCAGGCCAAGCTTCGACGACTCCAACAGGCTGCTGAAGGATAGCGGTCCAGTCTTCGACCTTGATTGTGGCAAAGTCGTCAGTGTTGAGTAGGTTGACCATCGCATTGGTTGGAACGTCGCATTGCTCGGCAAGGTCCTCAATTCGTACCGCCCCCACGGAGACGTCAACGTCGACATCGATATCGGCAGATGCGTCGATTTTGGCCAATGCGTCGATGTTGGCAGATGCGTCGATGCTGGCAGATGCATTAACGTTAACAGCTGTTGCCATACTGGCAGTAGCCAGAAGCAGAATCTTGACAAATGAAGTAGTCATTGTGACTTGAATTAGTTAACGAGTGTTGTAATTAGGGTAAGGAGTGAAAAGGGTGGGTGAGATGCTTGAAAGAGAGTAGTAGTGAGATAGTGTTTAAAAGGTATGCGCTTCTCTCACCTTTTATAAGTCTCACGGCTTCACCAAACATAACTCGCCGTCCTCCATGACTATCAGAACACAGCTTTCGATGTCGGGCCCGGAGTGAGTAATTTGCGACATAGTGCTAACCATCTCACAGAAATTTGTTCTATTGAGATCAAGATACGATGTCAGCAATGGTGAGAGCATACCAAGCCTACAATCATTGCCTAAGGAAGTAACAGCATCAGCCCTAAGGACGGAACGACTCATGTTCTCTCCGAAAGTGGCTCACTCCAGACAAAAGCAGATCTATCAAGCAATGGCATTCAGGCACCAAGCGAACAGACGATGCCAGAAGAGGCAATTGAATTGACCCCAAGGACTTGGACCACTAACCCTAAGGGCAAACAGACACCAGACGCCAGCGACGGGTATGGTCTAGTCTCCCCTGACTGCCTCAAACGCTCCAGAACAGATCAGCCCAGTTGCCCACATCAAGGGCGGCCCGAACAGACCGGTCCGATAACTCCGACCTATCCGTACAACTGGATCGGTTCGTCCGTCTAGATCTGTCAGACTGTCTAGGCCGGGCCGATCACGGTCTTAAGAAGTTTCCAAACAACATTGCTCCTATCTCTGCCAAGCACGCTACGTCGTACTTCACATCTTGTATCTGCCATAGTATATCTGTATATTTGTGGCTGGATTCAACTAGTCTCATATAAATCCTTTCTAACTTGGTGAAAGCCTTCTTGTCGCATCCTTAGCATACTCGGCTTCATTTGCTCAAATTAGTCCTCATCGTATTCGGGGAACCGGACTCTAACGTCAGCATCTGATGCCTGCAAGGCTTTGGGTAAGGTACCTGAGTAGTTTCTGAAAGGGCTCAGGCTGATGGCATCTTGGTCCAGTATGTCAGTAACACTGACGCGTCTTTGGGGATCTGTCGACGACACATCAGGAGCAATTGTTGTATTTCACTATCTATGGTAGGGAGCGACTATAGTACCGGTAATGACTGGCTGAATAAGATATGAGAGATTACAATTTGGTAAGACACAAAGAGATCCAACATCCCAATAACCACTCTTAATGCGATAACGATCATTCTCAAGGTTACAGACCAAGCCGTGCGTGTCCAGTATCGAAGAAGGATATTCGAATCTACAGGACCATCTTGTGGCCTTGACGTATATGATCACGAAGTTTGTCCAGGCGGTAAAACTTCATGTCGCAATCGTCAACAATACACTTTAGTATAGGATCTTGGTGCTTCCGCATGTGGCGGCGGTAATCGCCAGGGCGGCGGAAGGTCTTGGTGCAGCCATCAGCGGTGCAGCTGATGCGCGTCTCGGCAGTGCGGTGACGAGCGTTGGCACGTGCACCAGAAGGCTGGTTGGGTTGTGCGACAACATCCATCTGCGCAGCAGTAGCTGGAGCAATGGGTTGGAAAGTATAACCCGTTCCTGCCATAGGGTACGAATACTGAGGCGGGAGAAAGTCGGGCTGGGGAAGCATCGGCATCGGCGTCAAGAAGCTGTCACCCATCCAAGGAGCAACGAAATCATCGAAGGCAAAGTTACCGGACACACTAGCATCTCCGGTGTATGGGTAAAAACTGCTGTTGGTGTTGTATGGATCCAAGAGGCCAAGGGTTTCCTGAGCAAGAGCCTCATGCACAGAAGAGGTGCCAAGTTGTTGCAGGTACGCATGGCCCGGGCGCAGACCTGTGGGCGCTAGTCCGGAGAGTGTGTCGTTGTTCAGAGGTGGACTACTGTCCCACGAAAAGGCATAACTGCATGGTGTTAAAACAAATTACCTATGATTGGTTGCGCCACCGAGTGTCTGTGCGCTCGCGGCTGCAGTCGACGTAGCTAGCTGAAACTCCTGCCAGCTGTAGGCGATTTGTCTACCTTCGTCGAAGAACTCCATATCTGGGTTGATATTGTCGCGCGATTTCGTAGGAGATGATTGCTGATACGGGTGGTTCATGGTAGTGAGGGATATTCGTGAGTGGAATGACAAAGCCGTGGAGGAAGGCGCAAACAGTGCACGATGGCTAGTTCGAGTAGGCGACGATGGTTGTCAGAGCGACAAACAGAAGCTGTGGACAAAAGGGAGTAGGTAAGAAAAGCCAGGAAGACAGTCTGATGGAGAGCGCTAGGTACACACACAACAGAAGGAAACATGGTCCAGTCAAAGGGCGGCCAATGGCGCAACGCTGTTACGAAGGGCGCCTGTTCGCTGAATGATTGGTTGATTCTCGTCAGCCTCAGCCCTGCACACCTTCAAAAGGCTTCATCTAAGGCTGTAGCTTTTCGACGTGAATAGACATGTACAGGCTGCACACAACCTTGATTCTCCGACTATGGACTGCAGCGAAGTCTTTCGTTGTGATCAGTGCTCTAAAGCTTTCAACACTTTAGGCCGCTACAAGTAAGCTTACAACCTACCAGCACCCTAGTCTTCTACTAGATGCTGATATGACAATAGTCAGCATTTGAAGACACACTCAAAGCCATTCCAATGCGGCGAATGCACTAAGAGCTTTGCTCTGCGTTCTGATCTTACTAGACATGTGCAGTCACGGCACCGACTTGGCGTAGCTCGACATGCATGCCCCGTCATGGGCTGTTCATTTCGTGCTTCTCGCAAGGACAACATCCGTCAGCATCTCCAGAAAATTCATCCAGAAGTCCCTATTGGTGCCAAAAAACCTCGGTCAAGTCGCCGTCGAGCGGACTCTCATACCATTCCGTCGTTGGTTCCACTTAGTGTATCGTCAAGCACGCAAAGCGACATGCCATTGGAGAATTTCTCCCCACTGATGCAAGCAGCATCGAGAGGTAACATTAGTTCTGTGGAATTCATCATTCGACTAGGCATCGACGTCTCTACACAAGCCGATGATGGCTCTACTGCTTTGCATTGCGCTGCCAGGGCCAACCAGATTGAAATGATTCACCTTCTCGTTTCTTTGGGAGCCCAGTCAGATATCCTCAACAAGAATGGGAGGACACCCCTACACGAGGCTGTATCCGGTCGTTGTATACCCGCGTTCAATGTGCTTGTGGAAAGAACAGCAGATATTACGAATCATGTTCTCCGCGAAACGATAGAGACAGGACAGCATGAACTTTTCCAGCAAGCTTGGGAAAGATGTCACAAGGAGATGCTTGGGACTATCGGCCGCAGCCTTTTCGATGTTGCAGCAAGCTCCACACAGACAGCGACTATGGCTACATTACTGTTGCTACCTGATATCAACCCAGAGTGGATTTCCGGCGACATGACTTCCACCATACGCCGGATCGTCTTGAAAGACCAGACAGCGATGCTAGAGTGCTTGCTAGAATCTACGAAGTTGGATCCTATTATCAACACACCTATTGGCAGTTGGCGTTCTGGCAGTTTGATTCACTTTGCCGCCGCCTATGGGCGCGCTGAGGTTGTTGGACTTCTTCTCAAATACAAAAACGTCGACCCAAATCTGGTACCAGATTATTATGGACTCTCACCTATCAATATTGCAGCTTCACGTGGTCACTTCGGAACCGTGAAAAAGCTCCTTGAGAACCCTGGTATAATTCTGAACACCAAGATTGGGTACCGAGATCGTACGATAAACCCCCTGCTTCTTGCTTCCCGAAGGGGGCACGTGGAGATCGTACGATTAATGCTCAAAACCTTCGACAAACGGGGGCTTGATGTAAATGATACCGGCGGATCCTTTCACAACAGAACGTCTTTGCAAATCGCTGTATCCTATGGACATACGGAGGTCGTAAAGCTCTTGCTGCTTCGGCAGGATATCGATGTAAACCTGACCCTCGGAACGTCAGGCTTGAGCATGTGCCAGATAGCAGCACAGCGTGGGCATTCTCGGATATTGGGTCTGCTGCTTGGAGATTGCAGGACTGATCGCAGGCATGTAAGGAACAGTCGAGATTCGCTACTGTTCGAAGCGGTCAGCGAAGCACACTTGTTGTTAGTTGGGATCTTGCTCGATTACGACGAGGCTTCTCCCCAAGATACGCAACGCAAACTCTCCACACAGAAAAACATCGCAGGAAACCGTATCGATATTCTGGAGAAACTCCTAGTCGACATAGCGTTCCGTGAACACTGCATGAAATATGAAAGGGCGAATCTTTGGCACGTGGCCGCAAAAACCAATAGTTTGAAACTCGCGATGCTCCTCCTTGAACACGCCCAGAGGAACGAAGGAATGCACCACCCTGCCTTGGACGTCAACCGCGGAGAGGGCATGAATGGTACGCCGCTACATATTGCGGTAGAATCTGCAAGGATCGGCATCGTAGAGCTCCTACTTCATCACAAGGATATCGACATCAACATCACTCCGAAAGGATGGTATGGGGATTCTGCCTTACAGAGAGCAAAAACGTACAGCCAACAGTCTTGGAGACCTAGGGAAGCGATGATTTACATAAGAGATCTTTTGGAAGCCAATGGGGCTCAGGGTGCGTCGCGCAAACGAAACGACGACACGAACAACCTCGTTCTCCCGTCCTTACTCACCCAAGCGGAGGACTCAAACAATCTCGTACTGCCATCCTCATTCGGGCGTGCGGAGCACAAGGACTCTCATTCAGCCAAGGTAGATGAGAATCTGAGACAGAGCACTCATGCGTCATGGGCTTCAATTGTTGGGATCCAAGACAATGGCGTTGGGTCTGAAGAGATGAATAGAGGCGACAATGTGTTGGGCGACATGACCCCTACGTCTTCAGACGACTGGTTGGAAGAAGACCCTGACGTAATTTTCGATGAGTGGATGCACTTCGACGGTGAGGAAATGATCGAAGATAATCGCTCAGAGATGCTGGATTAGGGAACGTTCTGTAAAGCGCTTGTTGGTTCCGTTTCCCCCCTGAAGAACGCGTTATGTAGTACTCGAAAGATGCCTTCGCTTGGGTGTGGTGGGTCCGTTCGTCCTACAAGATTCTGAGGAACAGCGAATGAATGAATGCATGCACAAGAAGACTGGTAAAGTACATGTCTATATACATTCTAGGTCAAATATCCACAGCGAAAGTAACCAAGCGTAATCTATCTCTCAACCCATGCGATCATCCCAGACACATGCGACATCGCTCGTCTCATCGCCCCGCCAGACATTTCCCGGGACATTCTTTGCCGCAACAGCAGCTCTTAGCTGTGTACCTAGATCAGGCGGGCCAGAGCCGATGACTTGGGTTCTTCCCTGTTCGACTGTCTCGCTCATGAAGGTATCGACCAGAGAAGGAACATCAGGACGCGCATTGTTTAGCCATGTGATTCTGAAGTTAGGGCACTGACGGCTCAGTTCCTCAACTCGGCGGTCGAAAGGCATGGTGTCAATAGAAGTTGCTTGAGACAGTGAATCGCTATCACCAAAATCGTTGCCTTTGTCCACAGGAGGTTGCCAAGAGGCTTGTTGATGCTTTCTTGGGTCAGGCCGAGTCACAAAGATGTTGATCCTGAAGCGCTTCTTTGCCTCAACCGATACTATCGGTGCCTTCTCTAGCTTGTCCTCATTGTAGGGCGAATCTGCCTGGGATCTATCGAGTTGTGACTTCAGATATGCCAACTCAGAGGCAATCCATGCAAGGTTCTCCAGGTGTCGCACAGTCCAGACTAGTTCGATGTTGCGCGCGGGAGAAGCGTCGCTTAACGCTTTCATGATAACGGGCAGGGTGTACGTGATTCCTGTGCCACCAGAGATGGCGAGGATGTTTGAGAAATCGTCATTCATGATAGCGCTGCCGTATGGCTAAATGAAGGCATACGAAGTCAGTGTATGTCTTGCATGCAATTCTTACTGAAACACTTACGCCCATCATAATAACTGGTGTCGACGCTTCACGGCGTGGGTAGCAGTTGGCGGCCGATTCAGCGAGAGCGGCGAGTTTGGCGGTTTCGCCATTGCAAGCGCGGATGATGTAGGTATGGCTCTGAATTGGGGAGGAGCTTGTAGGGTTGGATGCTGGGGTGAAAGGATGCGATTGCCAGATGTTGAGCGCGGGAAACGTGAGGTAGAAGTGTTGCCCGATTTCCCACGCTTTATGGGGGTGAGCAAACGTCATCCTTACAATCGTTCCAGTTGGATCTTTAAATGTCTCCATGGTTGTAGGAATAGAGCGGAAGCCGAAACCAAGACCTCCATCTTTGTACCCAGTGTGTATGAGCCATGTGCGAATTGTGCGCATCACGAGGTCGAACCCCATAATGGCCAAAGATGCGATCATCCAACATGACAGCTTCTCCCAATGGCCCCAGCAAGCCCCCAGATAAAGGCCAGCGACGACGAGATGTGATTTGCGGAAGAACTCATAACCCGTCCAGCGGATTACTGGCCTGAGACTGAAGACGAATAAGAAAGTGATGAACCCTTGCGCGACACAGCCCCAGATCATGTACTTCTGACTGATCCATTCGTTGTACGTTGTTGGTTGCGGCTGGTATAGCTTTCCTTCGACAATGGTCCAGATAATGGCATGTACGAACGATTGGACAAGGATGATGCGGCCCGTCCAGCGGTGCAAGAAGTTGAAGCTCTGATATGGAATGCCGGTGAGCATACTGAGAATAGAGTCGCGGCTACAGAGGGCGATAGTCAAAGGAGTCAAAGCGAATGCAAAGGCACCCACGCGATCGGCAAAGCCGCCAATGCCGCTTCGGGTGTTGTGCAAGTTTGTGCCTTTGACAGGTGTAATCCAAGTTTTGTAAGTGATACCGGCAAATCTTTCGAAAGTTAGTCGTATTGTATTTGTCATTGGAAACTTGACTCACGAGAAAGCTGTCAAATAAGCACATAGCAACGCCAAGATCAGAACCTGCAGCCTTGTAGTATATTTGAATACTTTCGAGCATTCAGGCATGAGGTGTCGGCGTATGGTAGAGGATCCTAGACTGACTAGGCGGTACAAGAGGCTCTGCTTCACACCATCCCTTCTTTGCGGTCGGATCAGTCGAGACAAGAGCGTCAGAAGTAAGAGCGCGCCGAGGACAGCCCATAGAACGAAGGTGAAAATCATCGAGGTGTAGTGGTTGCCGTAAACGGCATCGAGATACTCGCACGATCCAGCATCGTTTGTACATGGAAAATTGCGGACCGCATAGCCCCAGTAGTCGATTGTATATTCAACATCAGAGTCGGTTTGTATGTGACGGGCGGCCAGCACGTTAGCGGTCGAGTTGGAAAACATCGTAATGAGAGGACGCAGCACAGCTGCAAAGAAAGAAGAATAAGAACAGGAAAGAACGGTATGATATGGTCAAATACGCGGTGACATCGTGATGGCATAGATGAGGAGGATGTCCAGTTAATAACCTAACACTGTACCCAAATTTCGCGGGTTCCACTACGTAATTGGACCAAGCCTTGTCGTGCGGTTGGCAAGATGTGGGTTCCGCTGTCAAGTTCCTTCGAGTCGAACGTCCAATCGTAGTTTTTCCGTTCCTGGCCCTGAGACAAAACGTTACCCACATACCCGTACTCATGGCACCGATTGTTTAGGAGCGCGGAACGAACACCCGGAACAACATGGAGCTGCCGATAAAAGGAAAGTCGTGGTAGATGGCTTTGGTGAAGTCGCATGAAGACCTTGATACTACGATGCGACACATGCGTCAGGCGGCTGACGGAAATATTGATGAAACTTTCGAGTGGATGCCCGATCTTGGTGAAGACAGCTAAAATATTGAGCATAGGAGCAGGCCACAAGTGGGTTTCTTCCATATCCCTTGATCGTTACAATTGCTTTGCGTAAGCACATGCCTTTGACACTTTGGCGCTTTTACCGTGCATTCGCATATCGCAGGGACCCGAATGTGCGCAATCCCATAGGAAACCCGGTGGTTGGTTCTCGATTCGGCCACCATAGTTGTGACAGCGGCATAGTAGCGGGGCGATGCTGATGGTTTGACGATGGAAGGGAAACGTGAAACAGGCGGGAGGTGCCTGTGCCTGTGCTTCGGCTATCGGCAACGAACCGTGGCGCTACGGCTATATACGACTAAGTGTCGCGTCATCCATAATTTACATACCACGCCGCAGACACAGCTATTACACGCATCTCAACATTGCAGTACTTTCATCTCATATAAAATCGTTACTGATATTCCGAGCTCATGTCGTGCTCACCGGCAGTATTCCTTCGCAACGTCTGTGGCTGCTCCGATGCAACGCATCAACTGCTCATACCACCATCCCTCTCTTGCCTATCAAGAGACTCTCGGTCACCTTGGCCTGCATCTCCAGGTATGGTTTCTTGCTGATCTGAGGCATCAACGCGGTGCTGCCGTCCCATCGGTCTGAGCCATAGGTGGCTCGTATTGTCATCTAGCCGCTCGAATCCATCATCGCTCACTACCCTCACACCAGCGGACTTCGATTCAGTGTTCGCAGACTTCTTCCCTGGGCCATAAGGTGTTGGTGTAGATCGGCGGAGGAGTGGATGCATCAGGGGAACACAGGCAAGAACCACGGCAAGACAGGGCTCTAGACAGCTGAAAATATTGGCTCTCGGGATTGTGAAGGTAATATCTGAAAAGTCCATACTGGACAAGACAGAGATGCGAAGGGCGCTGATGATGCACGTACTGTTCCCGTTAGACCATGGTTCGGACTGAAATCTTGCTGTAACTTACAAGATACCCAGGCCAAAAACGGTAACGAGGGCCACTCTCTTGTACATAGCCATCTGGAGGTGGTAAAGAGCGTGCATGGGTAAGAGAAGCACTATAACATCAGTGACGACGTTGATGACTCCACTGATCGTGAACGACATGACCTGGTCGCCGCAAGTTCCTCCAGGAATCGTTTTGTCCCAATTGAACGCGATAGGCCGGCAGATCAAACAGCCAGCAAGAATCGTTCCGATTGTCCAAGCAATAAGGATAGCCATGGTTACGTAGGAGCCCCAAACAACCCATCGAATTGGGAAAATAAAAACATACAGAGTAAGGATCGACATCTTGGTACAAGCGAGGCTGAGAACCCAGAGAAACTGCAAGGGCATAATGATTTGCGAGAGCTTGGTGATAGGTTCCAGGCCGTATTCTGCTACGATATCCTTCACGTGCCCGTAGCCAATGCCAGCGTGGAAGACACCAGTGATGCTGATTGCTTGCAAGCCAACGGCAAAAATCTAGACCTGATTAGTGGTAGTCACGATTGCTAACTCTAGGCTTCTTACACAGGCAATGATGATGAGATAGTCGGCGGGTGTCCATCTTTTGCGGGCAATCTTGTGGGCAGTCAAGCGCAAGACAACGGCGAGGACGGCAAGAAAGGAGAAAGAGAATGCCACACCTAGGACAGCCTTTTGGTCATGAGTATCGACAGGAAATGTGGCCATGTTGTGCAGACCCTCCAGAATGAGACTCTGCACTACCCGCAATCACGGGTGCGGTGTTGTGGTATAAAGGTTTTGGCGGTGGAACAAGAGGGCAATGCTGTCGACAAGGTAGGAACATGCTCAGCTGGCGATGTTTCATTGTGAAGCTTGGTAATCCTGTATGCGGGTCTCATATCTAGAGATGTTTGCAGTGCTAATCAAGAAAACCCTTGGCTTCTTCCCACAGGACTTCAACAAGAGCCTTGTGCGAGCTTGAAGGGCCGTTCTCTCCCCCAGTTTGGGCGCTTAATCTGACTGATACATCACCCACACCACTAAAGGTGCGACTACAGGAGTCCCATCCGGCTAGACTCCCATCACATATCTTGTCAAGCGTCGTATATCTCATGCTGGTCGGATGCGCAACAGTTATCTCCTCGTGTAAAAGACCACAGATAGATCTGTGTATGTGATCCTGGTCGAATCTGCGCATTCCGCTCCCGGACCGGGAGGAAGAGACGGGCCTACTGCAAAGACGCCGGATAGTGCGTGTGATGTGACATGAAGAGTCTCGCCATCCGTATTCCGAGCATGTTCATACAGGGATTCTCTGCCCTTTCTCAAATCACGAGATATCTAATGGCTGCTGACAAGTAGTCCCTCGATAGCCCAAGAAGGTCTTCGATATTCCCAACTTCCATTTTGGGAGCGATGGCGGTACCTGCAATGTCAGTCTAGTTGAATGTAAAGATATCCGCCATACGCGCTACCAGGGGCATTCCGCCGAGACGCTATTATCAAAACTCGATACTTTCGTTATCGCAATCTCGGATGGGCCGTGACATGGGTCACCGGGGATGTTGTTGCCGAATATCACTCTGCCTAACTTATTCAGGATAAGGCTCTTCAAGCAGAAACTTGAGTAATGTCGTGCATGTTATCCGCCTTCTTGGGCTTTCAAGTAGTTGCATCTCCCACAGCTTTCAAGGGTTGATCTTTCAGCCATGTCCAACCTTATTGCGACCGTCCTTTTGGCCGTGAGCGCCCTGGCAGCACTCTACCTCTACACCAACAACAAGAGCCAGAATGCATTCCAAAAGCCCCTCCTTAAGCTTCCCCTTATTAGTGATCTTCACAGCTCTCCGATCGAGAAACCACTGATAAACTGGAGCGCTTGGTCTAAACAATACGGACCGATTACAGTTCCCAAGCTGTTTGGAATTGTACCCATTGTCGTACTCAATTCGTACGAGGCCGTCACTGAACTGTTCAGTCGTCGCAGTCAATGGTACAGCAACCGGCCGACTTCCGTAAGCATGGAGATGATTACGGGGGCCGCCCCAGGCTGTTCTCGATTTACGCTGATGCACGATTATGACGATCATCTCAAGCTGCATCATCGCATCCTGTCACCAAGCCTGGGTGCGCCTGCAGCGGCCAAATTCCAGCCGCTGATGGAACTCGAGGCCAAGCAACTGCTCTTTGACCTCGCTACTGCCTTAAGGAAGTCCACAGACGGTTCCACAATTACTACGAAGATCATCTACCCTTTACTCGAGCGAACCCAGTCTAGCGTCATCCTTGCCCTTCATTATGGCCTCCGCATACCCAAGTTCGAAGAGCCACTTCTCCATGAGGTTATTGCCATCCAAGCGAAAGTCACTCACCTTGCCGCAAATCCTCAGCTTCCAGATCTTGTGCCCTTCCTTCGTTACTTGCCCGCCTTCATCTCCCCGTGGCAAAAATATGCTGACAAGCTCTACGCTTCTCAGGTTGATCTGTATATGCGCCTATTTCGCCACGGTAAGGGCGCACCGGGTTGGAATGCAACAAAGCAAGCCATCACAACCGCATCAAAACACGCTCCTGTGGACTCACCAGTATCAGATCTCGACCTTGCCTTCACGCTCGCGACATCTATTCAGGGCGGGATGGAAACGTCACCGCGCCAATTACTCTGGCTCTTTGTCGCAGCTATACAGAATCCCGTTGTTTTGACCCGTGCGCATGAAGTTCTAGACCAGTTCGTTGGCCGCGAACGGCTTCCTAGATTCTCGGACCGGAACAACCTCGTCTACGTTGACGCTGTCGCACATGAACTGTTCCGCTGGCGGCCTATCTCTCCAGGGTCTATTCCACGGCGTGCGGACCGTACGGACGAATTCGATGGCGTGAAGATTGCCAAAGGCGTAACCATCATGGCAAACGCATGGGCCATTGGCCGCGATGAGGTGGTTTTTGACGCTTCACTTGGTGACGCGCAAGATTTTGTCCCTGAGCGCTGGTTACGCAATGGAAAGCTTCGCGGCGACCTTCCACTTCCTGTGTTTGGCCAGGGTCGAAGGATTTGCCAAGGAAAGCGTGTTGCTACAGACGGAACTTTTATGAACATCGCGCATCTTCTCTGGGCGTTCGATGTGGAGGCTCTAGAGGGCGAGGAGGTGGATCCGTGGGAGATGAGAGTTGTTGGCTTCATGACTGAGCCTAAGCCTTTCAAATTCCGCCTCAAGCCTAGGGGGAAATGGGTGCTTGATGTGGTGAGTAAGGAATGGTACAGTACCGAAAAGAGTTTAGAAGAGGTGATGGGTATATCTCATGACGTTGAGAAGTAGCATTGAAGTTTGGTCTTCCTCCACCATGTTTGAGCCTCTCCATACCTATTTGAACTCTAATCTTTCCACATCGGAAAATGGAAGCGGCAAGATCTCTGGATAGAGAACGACATCTGCAACGGCTCGACGGCCGATGCCCCACAGAGTCACTTGAGTGGCCGTCAGGGTTTTTGCTGGTTCTGTACCTCTCAAACCCTCCCTAGTTCGTGGTGGGATAGTTCATCTTAGATAACATGCCAAGTGGATAGAGCATACCCGCTGACAGTATGGTCAACTGTAGCTTCGGGGCCTTCGATGGATTAGTGTGCGCGCGATTTGACTCTTTCGGCAGCGCGAGTGAGTTGTCAGGAAGAAATTTACGATGTCTGCGCATCGCCTATTCCGTGATCGTCTTTGGCGAGGGACGGCCTCGACTGCTGAGTCGTGTTTGCGGCCCGATCCTGTTCATCGCCAATCATAACCTTGCGGTGTGATCGAAAGGAGATTCAGCCTAGCCATGGCATGCAGGTCCGCTCGAACGAACGTATGCACTAACAAGACCTGTGCAAGAGAATGTCTTGGCGGACTGATGCCTAGGGTCTGGGTTGCAGCGAATGGATTCCGGAGTGCTTGTAGTCCTGGCGACCCTGCGGCGGCATACAGGCAGCACGACGTTCTCAAATGGAACATACCTAGGTATCATGTTGGGCATATGGATACTCCTAACGTGGTGGTATCCGGGTAGCTATACAGTAGTTCGGAACAGGATGGTGGCTCTGCAAAAGACCTTGGAGGCCACCGACAGCCTAACGTTTGGGTTGTGTCCTCCAGAGATACCGGCTGCCTCTTCCGTCGTTACTGTAACAGTACCGATTACAACAACGTCTTAGGAGCTATCTGGCGTAATTGGTAAATTTGGGGCAGACGAGCTTCTTCGCAAGAATGAGTTAGCGACATAACATAAGGCGCAACCAAAGTGCGAAGACATTTAATAATGATGAATCTGTGTCAACAAACAAGAACATGATGGACAGAAAGGTTAGACATATACTGGGTAAGCAGCAAAGTAATCAGCTTGTAGTGCTAATTGGGTATCGAATTCTCGATTCTAGGCGCGCTGGTGCGACGCGTTCTGAGAACCCGTTGTGATTCAATTCCGACCGTCAGCCTCGCATGTAAGCCTCGTGCTCAGACTTTCGTTTTGTGCCGCTGTGTCGAAACATGCAGGTGTTATCCGCTTAATAGCAGCGGGCTGATGTTGCCGAGCGAAAGCGAATTCCAAGATTCTACGGCTCTCTAATGACGTTCTGACGTGTGTTCGGAAACTCCGCATCTATCTCTGTATACTCTGCCCCTCTTCTGCACAATACTGTACAGTCGGCTCTATTTGCACAGCTGAGTCGATTTTCCTACTGCCTGGGCGCGTTCAAGGGCGCCTAGACCCACCCGCCTGGCGACACGGATGTCGAACGCGACGGCAAGGTTTCGTCAAGCGCATTAATAGCCTATCGCTGAAACAACCGGAAAAACCAACCATGGACGAGCGCAACTTCGCAGGTTGGGTAGCATCTGCAGCTCATATGCATCTCCCCTGGTGATTGGAACCAGCCTCGTTATTCTTTATCAAACTGCAACTTTCTACAGTCACTTGAGCCACCCCCTCGCGTGTTGTCGGAGACGTCAGAGCATCTTCATGTACGAAACAACCAGGAGAATCAAACCCTTGGGGTCGTTAACTGTATTGATAGTAGATCGCGCATTCCTCCGATAGAAGCCAGTGACCGTTGTGCTTTGTCTCGTTGACATACCCTGTTATATCAATGTCAGACCATCCATACACTGCGAGTACGCGGCGACTCACCTAAAATTCCATCCGCCTCTAGCTACGCACGTGTGCGCCTCTGCAGTTTACATGAAATTGCTCTCCTCGCCCATGAGTACCACCCGGGTCTTCTCCGTTATCGCAATGGTTTCCTCGTCCTCTTTAATCCGCTGCCCACCTGGACCGTTCATCACCGCTAGGCATTGCTGGACGTGCAGCTCATCGCGGAAAACCATCTCTCCAATTGCGTCCCAATCTACATCCTTAGGCGACCCGACCAGGACGACTGGCGCATCTGGATCCGCTCGTCCTCTGCTTGATGTGACAGCGCCCAACCGGTCACCAGCCCCAGTCTTGACGCGCACTATGTAACGCAACCTTAGAGACTGCGGTGGGTGCATCTCAAACACTTCTTTGATCAATGGTACATGCGTTTCTTCCATATAAGATCGAAAGTGCTCCGGAGTAACATCTGGACGGCGCAGATAGAAATAAATAACCGATATCGGCATGTTGTTGTTCTGGAAGGCAGGAAAAGAATCTAATCTCGGGATGCCGAGCGATCGTATCGTGGTAGGCTGGAGTAAATGCGGTAGGAGAACACCGCACGCGACGAGAAAGCTAAAGTATGTTGCAGAAAGGGGGCGTCTCGGGGCATGCCTGCGTTAACAAATCACACAACAGTTCAAGCTTTTCAGGAGCTAGATGAGACCTGCTTATCATAATGGACGACGATACCCTACGAGTGGGACAACAACACACACTGACCGTGCGGAAGCCTTGCACGGATGACAAGACGAATTGGGCGACTGCGACAACGTTGCGCCCTGTTGGGGACAGTGGGTAGTGGGTCTGTGAACAACGTTTCGCGCCGGAGATGTCTCCGGCACCAGGGTCAGACTCCCATTCGCTTCTCATTGTTCTCCTTACTCTCGAATTCCCGCATCTAAGTGGTGCTGCGGACAGACGTGCAGCCTCACGCAGTGCCGCAAAGTAAAGAGATGGTTCGGGAAACTTGGCAGGAAGTCGCTCTCGAGGATCAGTCCATCGTTCCTTCAGTGGCTAGTTGCTTACGCGGTGCCTTGCAAGTTCCCCTTCACGTGCCCTTCGACAACCCTTGTGGAAGGTATCGTCGAAACTCTCTTTCGCGATTGCGCATGATTCAGGACGGGAAACTATTCCGATGCGCACTGCTCATGAAAACGCTCAGGTGATGGTAAAGAAGGTGCCGCGCAGACGCTCCACGAGTCTTATAGCGGGAATTGGCAAGTACTTCGTGACCCTTGTACGCTCGAGTAGCCGGCTAAAAAGCAAACCGGAAATGATCAAGTCCACATCCTCCGCTGGGTACCATTTGCTCGATATGGTAGCTTCTCTGGATGGGCTCTCAGTTGTTGATCGCTGTAGTGTCTTGAGCCGTACCCCGCAGCGCGAGGGGCATCGGGCAATCTGGTACCGAACTGTCCGTCCATACAGTCCTCCACACTCCTAGCATCGCCCACGGGCCGGACCGCATATCCGAGTGCTATGATGGCGTTCTTGAATATCTTGGGAACTACAGAAAATGACACCACCAGACGTGGCTTGAAGTCATCAATCAACTATTCTATAGATCATTCCAAGCATCTGAGTTCAAGGACAAAGCCAAGATGAAATTCCGCGATGGTATGGGTCTATACGGCCCAAGTAATTTTCACTGCTTACAACTGCATAGGGATGTGGCTGGTCAACGACCGTTTCACAGTTCAACATGCGGAAGAAGTTTATACCGTCACGCCTCACGAAAACAACAAAGCGGTCACACTCTTATGTCCAAGTAGGAAGATCTTCACTAGAGGTGACACTTTGAATCTGAGCACCATCTCCATCGACATCGAGGCTCAATTTGATGGCGTTATTTCGCTCGAAGCCACGCACTTCGCTGGTACCAGGCGTCTAGGTCCAAACTTTGATCTATACCCAGCAGGCAAACCCAACTGTACGGGTGAGATTAGCAAGACTGAGAAGGGAACTACGGTCGTTTCAGGCGGATTGAGCGCGACTGTTAGCTCTAATGAACATACGTTCGACATCAAATTCCATGCAACGGACGGGTCAAAGACGTTGACTTCACTTCTCAACCGAAGCGTCGGGCTAGCGTACTCACCAGCCCTTAGCACACCCAAGCTTGTGGAAGATCTGAGTGCACATAAACATTATATGTTCACTCAGACTGAGTTGGGTGTTGGGGAAACTATTCACGGCCTAGGTGAACGTTTTGGTGCTTGGAACAAGATCGGTCAGAATGTCGAGGTATGGAACGAGGACGGGGGTACTTCAAGCGAGCAGGCGTACAAGAACGTGTCATTCTGGCTGAGCTCGAAGGGTTACGGTGTCTTCATCGATACACCCGACAAGATCGATATGGAGATCGGCAGCGAACGATGCTCAAGGTTACAGACTACAGTTGAGGGACAGCGTTTGAAATGGTGAGCATCGTGAACGGCTTCGATGATTTGCTTGGCTAATTTCTAAGGTACCTTATCTACGGACCAACTCCTAAAGAAGTGTTGACCAAGTACTCCATTCTCACTGGCAGATCGAATAGAGTTCCAGCTTGGTCGTACGGTCTCTGGCTCAGCACATCGTTTACGACATCGTACGATGAGCAGACTGTCCGTCATTTCGTCGAAAAGATGTCTGACTCCAAGATACCAGTCGAAGTGTTCCATTTTGATTGCTTTTGGCTCCGTGCTTTCCACTGGTGTGACTTCATCTGGGACCCCGAAAGCTTTTCAGACCCGGCGGGTCAGATCAAGCGCATGAAGGACGACGGACTTATTAACAAAGTCAGTGTTTGGACGAATCCCTACGTTGGTCAGGCAAGCCCTGTGTTTAAGTATGCTGCCGAGAAAGGCTATCTGCTGAAGAAGACGAACGGAGATGTGTGGCAGTGGGATCTTTGGCAGACTGGCATGGGGATCGTCGATTTTACAAATCCGGAGGCTTGCGATTGGTTCCGCGAGTGCATGGAGAAACTCTTCGATGTGGGTGTGAACTCTATCAAAACGGATTTCGGCGAACGTATACCCACGAAGAACGTCCAGTGGCACGACAAAAACGTAGATCCAAGTCGCATGCACAACTACTACGCTTTCATCTACAACAAGCTGGTCTATGAGGCAGTGCAGAAACGAGAGGGTGAGCACGAAGCGATATTATTCGCGCGCACGGCTTGTGCGGGATCACAGCGCTTTCCACTCCACTGGGGCGGTGATTGCGAATCGACACCTGCTGCACTCTCTGAATCAGTGCGCGGAGGGCTAAGTATCGGGCTTGCATCCTTCGCATTCTGGACAAGTGATATCGGTGGCTTCGAAGGAAGCCCACCACCTTGGATCTACAAGCGCTGGGTCGCCTTTGGACTGCTCAATTCCCACAGTCGACTTCACGGTTCGAACTCATACCGCGTGCCGTGGCTAGTCGACAACTCATCAGCGGAGCCTGAAAACTGCACTGAGGTCCTCCGACACTGGGTGCAGCTCAAGCGCAGCCTCATGCCATACCTCTTCGCACAGGCCGAAGAAAGCGTCGCTAATGGCTGGCCTACTAGCGTTCGTGCGACAGCTCTTGAGTTTCCAGATGACCCAACATCCTGGTATGTGGATCGCCAATTCTTTGTTGGCAGTCAGATCCTAGCTGCCCCTGTCTTCGAAGAAGACGGCAGCGTTGAGTACTACCTGCCACCCGGTCGTTGGTTCAGCTTTTGGGACGGCAAAGAAGTAAAGGGTGCCAGGTGGATCAAGGAGAAGTATGGCTTCCTCCAATTGCCGTTGTTTGTTAGAGAAGGCACTGTGTTGGTGCTCGGACAAGCACAAGGCGAGGGCGGCTTTGGCTATGACTGGCTCGTTACTGGTGGTGAAATTAGACTGTATGGCGTGAGGGAAGGTGACAAAGCGACTCTGGTGGATAACAAAGGCGAACAGAAGGGCGTCCTAGAGGTCAACGCCGATGGTGAGCTCAAGGGTATGGATGTACTGGGTGGGGATTGGAAGGTCTCAAAGCTAGGATAGGCAGGCGGGCCGGCCATCATGAGGGGCCATGCATCCTGTACTTGCGATCGTTCGTAGTGACGGGCTTCAAACATGAAGTAGAGCCGCTGTAACGGTGCTACATCAGCGAAGCGAGCCGGTGGCAGACGCTATCCATTGGCGGAAATTCAACATACCTCCCCGCACGCTACTGCACCCCAACATCCTTCGACTTGTTCCCCGGGTTTTACTCACTCAGATCAGCAAATAATTTTCTACCAGTGGACACCTCTAAAGCTTATGTATGAGCGCACAGTGGAAGCTAGGCGCGAACTTCCGGTTAAAATGCTTGTTACGCGAGGCTGCCCTGAAGATGTAACATGACCAGCATGCGTCGATGGCGCGAGTACATCATTGCTTGGGCCAATATATACCTGCTGCAGTAGCACGTTGATTTCAAGTGTTTTATCAGTATTCCGTACCTCATCCAGTCTTCGTTGTGTCGGTAGACGAAGGCAGCAAGCATGGGTCTCATTTTCAACATCGCCCTTGCGATCTTCGCCGGCACGGGCAGCTTCCTCTTCGGATATGATTCCGGAGTAATGACAATTGTCATTCAATCCCCAAACTTTCTTGCGTTTTTCGACACAAAGAAAACATCTCCAGTTATTGGAGCCATCAACGCAACTTTCTCAGGCGGAGCCTTCTTTGGTTCGATGATGTAAGAGAACGGCCTTGCGTAAAGTTCTCGACATATATTGACGAATGCTAGGGGAGGATTCACGATGGACAGATTCGGCCGCAGAAAAACGATCATGATGGGTGCTTTCATAAACCTGATTGGAGCGATACTTCAATGCGCTGCTCAAGATCTCGCTATGATTCTCGTCGGACGAATCTTGGCTGGGTGGGCAGTAGGTTTGATGTCTATGTCTGTGCCGATTTACCAGACTGAATGTGCTCATCCTAAAACACGAGGTCAGTACTTTTGAATCCGCTCCGAACTCCAATCACTCATATGCTTAGGTCTCATAACTGGTCTTACCCAGCAAATGATTGGTGTAGGTTTCATCGTCTCGACATGGGTTGGTTACGGCTCCTCGAAGGTACCCGCAACGTCGTCGTTCTCTTGGCGCTTTCCACTTGCCTTCCAATGCATTCCGTGTCTCATCATTCTATGCGGTATGCTGTTCTTCCCCGAATCACCGAGGTACCTGGTCGAGATCGATCGTGCAGACGACGCTCTGAGGGTACTTAAGAAACTGCACTACGATGGCACGAACGGCGAATGGATCCAGAACGAATTCAATGAAATCAAATTGACTATTGACGCTGAGAAGGCGATTACAGCGCCGGGCTGGAAGGTCATGTTCACTGTCCCGGTATGGCGGAAGAGACTCATGCATGCTACCCTGGTCCAGGTGTTTACGCAGATGACTGGGTATGTAATTTGCAAGTTCGTCAACGTAATCATACTAACTTGCTGTTAGCATCAACGTCATAGGCTACTACTCCACCATTCTCTACGAGAATTTGGGCATAGTCGGAGACCGCAACCTTCTCGTCACCAGCATCTACAACGTCGTCGGTCCTATATTCAACCTGTTCTTTATCGTCTTCCTTCTCGATCGCGTAGGCCGCAAGAAACCGCTTCTCTTCGGCACGATTGGTATTACCATCGCCCTTATCTGCGAGGCAATCATCGGATCTCAGGTTGAAGGCGCTACCGGTTCCCGAAGAGATTCGCTATCTGCTGCTGGAGTCTTCTTCTTGTTCCTAGTGTCATGCATCTTCAGTATGTCATTTGGCCCGATTTCCTGGGTATATGCCAGCGAAATCCTTCCACTGAGTATTCGTGGACGTGGGTCTGCCTTTGCGACTGCTTTCGGTAACTGGCTTGTTGGAACAGTGTGGAGTCAGGTGTCACCGATTGGGCTGGGTGAGATCACGTACAAGTTCTACTTCATCTTCGTGGCCTTCAACGTCTGTGTTACATTCCCCACCATCTGGTTTGTGTTCAAGGTATGTGCAAAATCCGAAAAGCTTAGGGAGGAAATAATCGTTGACATGTATTTCAGGAAACCAAGCAGCTTACTCTTGAGGAGATCGATCTGCTGTTTGGTGATCGTGCGCTCGGTACGCTTCCAGACAACTTGGACGATAAGCAAAGGGAGATAGAGCTGGAGAGGATCAATGCCGCGAAGCAGAAGCTTGCTGGCTCGAATGTGACTGCCGTACACTAGGTGACATCATCTAGGCTCACTCTGCCAATCGCCCTCGATCAAGGTGAGGCGCGTATTAATACACTTGCGCCAGGAAATACTGGCAGTATACAACGAGGTCTGGCACATGGTAGAATATACTCAAGTATGAGAAATATGCACATCCCAGGCGCCTTTTGGGCCGAGAAAAGCATGAGCACGTACATCTGTGTCGTTCTCGGGTAGAGTCATGATATGTTTATTGTCATTCGTCGATGACACCTCTCCCGTGGCATAGAGTAAAACTAGAGATCCCTCATGATATCATCAATGGTAACAGGTTTCCTCACCGCATTCGAGAATCCTTCGTGGAAGGATACCCATATCCTCCCCACATTACCCTGCATCTCCCCACTATCCTGCTTCCTCTTCGCCTCTTTCCTACTCTTGTCTGTTTCGACAACCACCCTGCCAAAGAAGTCACGTTTTACGGCCTTCTTGTTGGCTTCTGCGACCTTCTCTTCAGTAGTCTGCTCTTCCTTTTTGTCAGCCTCTGTTTCTTCGTCGTTTTCGTCTTGACCACCACGACGTTTGCGATTCGCTTGTTCGCGGAGGGCCGACTCTTTGCGCCATTCTTGCTCCAAGACGCTGCGAACTGCATAACGTCCCTTGTCGTCCTTCTTGCCAGCCAGCGTCTCAAAGGTTGCTAAGACGTCTAAAGCAGGTTCCATTCGCCAGACGAAGCCAGCACTTCTGTTTGCCACGTCCTCAGTTTCGATTCTTGACTTTTCGAATCGAACACCAGTAGCTGCCATGGCTTCTACAGCCTTCTTGACAAGCTCTTTCTCCGAAGCCTTACGCACAGAGGCGGTAGCGAAGGACTTTGATCCCGATGCACCAGTATTGACGAGGACGGGTTTTACGTCGGGAGTTAACATGCGCAAGACGTAAGGTATGAGCTCCATGGCCATCTCCTCTGGACTCCTGAACATGCGCGTTAACGGCAAAGTCAGGCTTGTTTGTAGCGCCATCAACTGGCTTCTACTAGCCTTTGACTGTTCGAGGGCTGCAAAGCTTGCACCAGGTCCAGAGAACGGCGTTGGCTGTGCATCTGGGTCTGCTATAGGATTTACAGATGATCGAATGGGCGACGCGAAGAGGTCATGCAAGGCGAGAACAGAATTAGACAGGTATGGTGCCAATTCCCATTCTTGAGAGCCGTGAACTGCTGAGTTGAGTGTGTCATGGAAATACAGCCATTCATATGCAGCAGATGGCTTGCTCAGGAGGGTATCGTCTTGGAACGGCTTTTCGGGATAAGCAGTGAAGCAATCTGTTTGTTGTTAGCATGACATCAATGCGTGAGCTTGAATAAATCATACCTGTCACGATGCGGTCGCAGTCTCCACTTGTGTCAACCATCTCCCTTAGGCGATCCATAGCACGTCGTTTGCCTGCTTCGGCGACACCGATGACGCCGCTCTTGGCCCGCGCAGCTGCCGATTTTGCATCTGTCGTTTCAGCTTGCTTTGGAAAGCCAGCACCCTCACGGAATACACGATCAACAACATCCTTTGCGCCACCTCTTCCTAGGCTTCGAGCAGCTCCACCACCGTGGCGCAGGTCACCAACTAGGTTGTCTTCTATCCACTTCCGCGATAGATGAGGCCTCTCCTTTGACTTGATATCATGCGATGACCGTAAGCGAGCTGCTATCCACTCGCTGACTACCATGACTCCACGAATGTCTCCTTCACCGGTCCCGCTGCCTGTTCCGCCCTCTTTCTTCGTGCTGACACCCCATGTAGCTTCGCAGAGGCGGCGCACGCCGTCTGAATCGCACTGAATGCCCTCTTTTCCGAAGATCTCTTGCATGCGTGAAACGACCATGTTGAGAGCGGGTTTGCGGATGTGTACGATCTCAGCCATCGAAGACTGTCGTAGCGGCCGTAGCGAAGGGTGATAGAGGTCATTACAGATGAGAATGAGGGGTCGCAAGAGTCGGAATTTGTCCCCTTTCCTCTTTTTGGTACCGGTACTGGATTGGTGCTGCCCTAGTGCTTTCGTGTTGCGCTCGTCGAGATTGATCAGGTCGATTAGAGCTTTGACGAAACCGCCTTCACCTGAGCCTCCACTACCAACAACTCCGTCCACTTCATCCACTACAACGCATACTGGTTTCCCAGCCTTGCGCACCTTTCCATCCACAGTACTAGTATTGACCCCACGCACATTCTCAGTCCCAACCATATCCCGGATGCGGCCCTTGACAACAGCTCCGCTGCGCTCATCTGAAGCGTTGATCTCCTGGACTTCGTAACCGGCTTGACGAGCGCAAACATGAGCTAGCGTAGTCTTTCCGAGTCCGGGCGGTCCAGTCAGTAATAATATCTTGCGATGTCTCTGTTCATCGTCTTCGAATCCGTTCTTTGCTTTCTTGGGCTTCGTTTTGCTGGAGCCAGGAAATACGATCGGGTCCCACGCCTTCAACCAACGCAACACTGATCGGTGTGTACGCTCATCTCCTACTAAGTCTGTGAACTTCTTTGCTCGGTACTTCTCAGTCCACATGAGTGTGCGATTGGTCTTTGCGGTTCTGGCAATTGGCTGCTCGATCGACGGATGTGGTTGCTCATGAGTCTTCAGAGACGCATTCGCGATCTTTTCTTGATCGAGCGCTTTCGCCTCGTCCATGAGTTGGTGGATATTCAGACCATAATAGCTCGTCCTTGCCTTGCCTTCCACGGGTTCCGACCGTGCTGCAATAATTTCTTCATACGTCTGGTTTTCGCGTGCGGCCTTCTTGCTTATGTGAAAAACCTTCCCTGACGCATTACGGGCTACGGTGCCACGCGTGTGCTGCGCTAAAGTTGACTCTCGTAGCATTTGTGGTCGCTTTACTGGCGACTGTGATCTAGACTTGAAGCTGTAATTGTCGAGGTCGTCTACCGGTATCGATTCGGGGTCGGCGGATTCATCCTGGCTCGCAGGTGGTGTATAGTCTCCTAAGCCTTCTGGGACAGCCGGAAGATCCTTGATGCTGCTCACTGCTCTTCTCTTCAGCGTGTGTTCCTTGAGCGCCGCAATGTCTTCTTCGTCGTCGGAGTCGTCCAGGAAGCCTCCAATCTTGCGTGTTGCGTTGTTGTTTGGCACATCCTTCAGCGGCTCTCGTGCATCTTCTGGACGCTTCCTTTTCTTCGGTGACGGCGCCTGTGGCATCGACGAGCTAGGCGGGTATGCGATGGGTGACGAAATGAGCGGCATTGTGTAGACTGGGGGCGAGGAAGGGAAGGTTGTGACTTCAATCGAAGAGTCGGTGGTCAAGCGCTTGGCTGGCGACTGCTTGTGGCGCTTCGCAGGTGTGTCTGGTGGGATTAGTGCTAGCTGCAGCGCGCGTTCACGCTCGTAGTACCAGCTGGACCTTCTCCTTCGCTCCTGAAGATATCTGCAACGTTCCAGGCGCGATGTTGTATGACGACGCCTGCACGGTTCTTCTTTACTGTGTCTTCGGTAATGCACTGTTGCAATGCGTCGAGTTCGTCGGAATGGGAGAGCGAAGTGGGCGCGTTATCGAGGAGTTCGAATTCGGAATGTAGTAGTGCAGGGTCGAAGGAGGTCGGTATGCCTGGTGAGTAGCTACTCATCGGTTCTGGCAGAGGTCATGATTTGGGTTTACGGGGATGCGTGCGTGACGGAGCGGAAGTGTCTAAAGTGCGAGGACGCGTCCACGCGGGTCGCGTTGAAGCGCGTTTTGCCGCTAGCCACATTCGCTCTCGTCCCAAGTCCCGTTGATCGAAGTGGCCATACTTGCGTCACCAAGCGGTTGTCCCGCGATCTCTCATCATGCAAGACTATCGAATCTTCGTTTCTTGCTGTGTACTGCAGCGTGCACCTTTTCTTCCGTCAGACACGTTCTTTCCGGTGCCCTCCTACGTTGCATTGTCACCTGGACACAGACTCTGAATGTGCCAGTTTGTGCGATGTATGCGGCTCACCATACACATCGATTCCACCATCATCTTGCACCTACTGCTTTGGCATTCAGAGAGCCTCACTGACGAAGGGTAGCTTGAGCGTTCGGGTAGTACTGCTACGTACCTGCCGCCGTCTCATGCACCATACAACCGAGGGGTACCTAAGTAAGATGCGATTCCCTTTACTCGGCCCCACCTTTGGCTCTACTGCCCTTGTGATCAGGATTCGGCGTATAGCAATGCTGAATAACAGCCCGTGGTCGCGTGACGTTGTATTCTCGTTAATTGCCAAACTTTCCACAACGAGCACCAAAGCTGCTTGGCGCAGCGGAAGCGCGCCGGGCTCATAACCCGGAGGACGCTCGATCGAAACGAGCAGCAGCTAGATCGTTGTATATCTTCTTTTTGCATTTTTTTGTGCGGGTGGGGTTGGATTTGAATTGGTCGGGGTTGAGCCGGGAGATATTTTAGTTTTTAACAGATTACGCTAACCAGACTTGCATACATTATTCACCAACATCATCACGCATGCACGCTCCATCCAAACCAACAGCAGTTAGAGCGATACGTCTTTTCATTTTGCGCTTTTTTGTGCGTGGACGCGTGATCGAAACATGCTCCATCTACAACTTTGTCAATACGTCTTGCACCTTTGTGCGCGGCACGCAGCAGTATCCATATCAAGCTCCAGTACAAGGGTTTTGAGCTGGCTAGAATTCCCTTTTTGTCTGCATCAAAGCGCCACATCCCAAGTGCACCCACTATCGTCTTCCCACTCCCTCCAAACCCTTCCGCAAGCCTTACTCCATTCCTCATCCCCAAGATCCCCTTCCACAAGATCGATTAGGCTCGTCTTTCTGCTCATCCATTCCCAATACCCACCCCCTTCAACTCCGCGCTCTCCGCCACAGCTCGCCAGCCAAGACCCAGTCTTTGCACCTTCATCCGTACCAACTGCGATATACTTCTCAGTTACTTTGAGAAGAGCGAAAGTAGGATTGGTGAACCATGTTTTCCAGCCAAAGGCAAACTTGGCAAATATTGGCGTGGATGTAAATCCAGGAGTAAACGCGTGTACTGTACGTTGGTTGTCTTGAGTAGAATCAAAACGGCGCTGAAGGATTGCGGCAAAGAGGACTTGGTGAGCTTTGGAAAGCGCATAGGAATGAAGAGTGCCAGTACCCATACCAAGGTACGCTTTCAGCTTTCCCAGCAGTCCTTGGGCAACACTGCCATCATCACCAGCGGTCTTCGTAGCTACACCTGCAGGCCTAGCGTGCATCACCGTCCCCGATGCACCATAATGTCCAGTACTACTCGTTAATACCACTCGTCCCTTTTCACTTAGATACTTCTCGAGGAGACATGTCATCAAAAAGCTCCCGAGGAAATTTGTAACTAGAACAATGTCCCGACCTTTCTCGTCTGTCTTCCTTGTGCCGACCGGGGGTTCTGGGATTCCTGCATTATGCCTAAATATTATTGCAAGCTGTCAGTATGTGTCTCACAAACATGTCGTCCAGGCACATCGCGTACACGAGCATATCGATCCTCCTGCCCTCTTCTCCCCATTTTTCACAAAACGCTCGCACGCTGTGCAAATCTCCGACATCTACCTTCCAGCAAAATACTCTTGTGGCTGCTTCGTGACCTAGCTGCGAAACGATAGAAGCAACAGCTGCATGGCCTTTTTCGACATTGCGGCAGGCAAGATACACGGTGGCCCCTTGTTTCGCAAGCGCAGTCGCGATCGAGAGACCGATACCGCTGTTTGCGCCTGTTACTACTGCGTTTTGACCTTTGAGGTTGCGATACGGAGGACTTTGGGGGTTATAGAGGCGTGCGAAAATGAGGGTGGATATTGCCTTTGCTAAAGAGGTGTAAAAGCTGATGTAGAGAGATAGTGGTGCCATAGTAAAGTATCCAAGATCACAGAAACAGGCCTTGAAAGTTCTAAACAACAGCAATGAAGAAGCAGAAGCCGATGCAAGTTCTTGCTACGTGCCATGCGTTGAAGTATTGGCAGGAGGCCTAATAAGGCTGTACCGCCAAGAGTCTCTAGATCATGACGTATGCATTCGTTACATTGGTATTAACTCGGACGACAATTACACCGGCTGAGCAGGCATCTCGTTCTCGCCTGCGTCTGACCTTCACCAGACATGACACATGCTAACGAAGCTTTACAATAGGACACTCCTTTGCTGATAACGTCCGAGATCGAGGTCTGCCAATCGAGTGCACAGCTACGACGCATGCGTAGCTTGAGATTGTTCGCGAAAAAGCCAAGTTACCACTCTCGAAGCCGTTGGTCAGGGTGTGTCGTCTTTTGGGCGTGCTGAAAGGAGCATACCGCTCGTGTGTTGAAGCGATAGCCATACGAGATAGGACACTGCTATGCAGAATAATGTGCTGGCCAGGAGTGACGCAGAACCAAACGAATCTGGAGACACGGCACGACGTGAAGACGCTGGCATGTGAAGTTTGCGCGTCAAGTACTGGCTCATGATCGATCGTTATATTTGTATATTCATGACACGAACGACTAGTTGTGACGAACAGAGATACAAGCAACGCTGTATTAGGCGTTTAAGAGTGACACTGCGTTAAAAGCTCTTGGTGACCGGCATCCGACTTGCTTCTCTATCTCCTCGAGGGTATATCTAGCGAAGTGCTAGAGATCATGGTCACGCAAGCCGCATCAAGTCAAACAGAACACGCGGTAGCTGCTAGCCCCATAAACGTTTCCCAAGATCTTGATACAGGCATACGCAGAGCCGCGCACCAAATTCAGCTCATTGAGTATCTCGCAGCACACCAAAGATCGATCAAATACGCATCGTATGCTGTAGAAGAAGCCTTGCGCGGAAAACAGTCAAATCGCCTCAGTAGTGAGGATGTATCAAGGAGATGGCTTCATACTGCAGAGGAGGAGATTGAGATATGGGTGAAGCGGACGAAGCAGATGGTAGAAGAAGTGGAAAGCGCCCGGAAGAAGGGAGAGAAGTAAATTGACTATTGTGAAATGAAACAAACCACTCTAGAATGCCGATGATCCTAAGACCCGGGCTCATGATTAATAGCTGTTCAGCCATGCAATTACGTCGGCGCTTTCTCCAGTTTGCACAAACCTGCATCTAGCCATACGTAGCGTCGACCCTTCTAAGAAAATTTTAAACACACGTTCTATGGTGCATCTTGCAAAGCGTTTCCATTCTAGACCCAAAGACTACCTGATAAGCGGCTCAATGCCCATTTAGCTTAGATATCGCCTCAGACATGTTCATCGCAGTGAGGGCTAGATCGATATTCCCAAGATCCAAGTCATTGCATGAATACTATCATTGCCGCGCACATGGTAATGCTCGAGCAAGATCGCTATGATCATCTAGATCCAACTCTTCTGGGCCATTTCGCAGGATTGTGGAAGGATGGTAACGGTAACGAGCCTGCGGTAAGTATCATATGGGATTAGGAGAAGTGTTCAGATCGTAAGTTTGATGTACGGCCATTAGTGCATCCACGGCCTCTGTGGCGCGTTGAGGATCTAGATGTGACCAGTTTTCCACAACGAAAGGACCTTTTTGATCGTCTGTCTCAAACTTACAGATGTCTGGGATGTCCGGAAAGTCTACATAAGCCTTCTGAGCACCTTGAGCTAGGAGTTCTGATGCTATATTTGCAGCGGCTTCTTGCGAGTTCGACCGGGTTGCATGCGATATGCAAGGGCTGCTATAATTGGCACCACTCATAGCAGTTCTACCACGACCCTGATCTTGTGTTTGGTCATACATGAAGCTTTGAGCTACATTCGGGAAGAAATCTTGTGCCATTGGTGAATCATGGAAAGCAGCAGGCATTAAGGCACCCATTCCTGCTGGAGGTATATTTTCGTGGCCAGAGCTCAAAGCTGGAACGCTGGCTGTGGGCTGCATGTGTAGTTGAACAGATGATGCTCGTGATGTAGCTTCCAGCGGTGATCGGTGTGTGCCATGTCCTCCCAGGCTCTCTTGACATAACGGCGCATGATGCATTTGAGACTGATGTGCGCGATTGACGACGGCTTCGTCAGCAGCTTGTTGCTGGCGGCGCTGTTCTAAGAACTGCTTACGACGCGTCCCATCCGCATCTCTCAGAACCTGGTAGTAATGTCTCACAACAGTATCATCAACGTGGTTGTCTGTATTTTGAGTATGGCCAATATGATCAAGAATGGGCTGAATGTCGTCTGGGAACATGAACTCCGTCGGTCGACCATGTTCACCAAGCTTCTGATTTTGCATTGCAAACTGCAGTGCACGACTTAAGTCACCAGCATCATAACCCTGAGGGAGCTTCTTCAGACCAACTGTAAGGACAATGAAAGGAATAGATGCCGGTGTGACATAACCAATCTTTTTGGCAGATTCCGGAAGATAACCGCTGACGGAGATGTTCAATTTGTTCCAGTTATTTGGAATATTGTGTCCTGCTTTTGTCCACCCAGAAAAGTTTTCCATTTTACGCATCGTCTTCCGGTATGTGTCTGAGATATGGTCGCGAGCGCGTTCAGCTTCCTCGACGTTAGTCAAGCCAAGATGTCTATGCTGCTCTAGAATTGCAAAATGAACAGCTGCATTGATACCATTATTCATGAAGCGCCATGTGATGCCAGGGTTGCGGAACCATTGCGGTACGACCGCGATGAGATCCACGATTGTTGCATTGATTGGCATCTCCTTAGGCAGTTTGTACTCGTAGGCCGGGATGTCCAAGAGAAATTGCGCCCGCGGTCTCCCTCTCAGTGAAGATCTTGGTGTCGCTAGATCATCGCCCTTTGACCTATGATGTCTGTGAGGCCTCGAAATTGGGAGATGGTGCGTAGCATCTGGTATAGGCTGGTTTCCAAAGCCTGGCTGCATACCTAGGCACCGCTCGTTTATGGTCGATTTCAATGTTCTACTGACTGAACCAGTAACTGTGAGGCTCTTAGCTGTTGTTGAGTTTAGCTGGGAGGAAACCGATAAGGTCTGGTTGAAGCTGCAGTTGTTGCGATACGATATGAGCTGCCACGGTTGTACTAGGAGAGAAGAGGACCTTTCTATGCACACGGACCTCAGGACAAATGAAGTGAATGATAAAATGATACCCAGAAGTCGGTGGATAAGCAATCAAAACGATCAACATAGTGAAGTTCGGTACTTTCACCACGACAGTTTGTTTATCACAAGATTCGACAGCAAATTCATTCCTGCGTCGAGAGAGGTTGCAGCAAAGAGTTGGAAGGATTTTAAAAGTGAAGCTAGCAGCTCTTCCGATATTGACTGATGTAACCGAAAACTGTCTGACTTTATCACATACTCGAAGGCTGAGCAGATTTGAGTAGGCTGTTTTTGCTTGACCTAGTATCCAGTTCTAGATTTCCCATGGTAGCGCCATAGTTCCTGGGGGGTAGTTCTCCACATTCTCGATACCGACACAATTCCTGAGTTTGCTTTCTCCAACGGTATCGTCTCCTGTCAAGTCGATTACCTCCGCGTTCCGCACAGCGCGCTTCACTCTCATGCGTTGCAAATCTTGCTCATTACCGATGCATATGCCAGCTTGTTCCTTCTCCGTAGATCGGTTTGCTTCTGCCAAGCGCTGAGCAAGTACACCACGCGGTTCATGGCTTTGATCCCAGTGACATAGATATGTCGACTTCGTCTGCCGAGCGTGATTCCTTAGGTCGATATTTGCACGTCGGTTGAGGACGAGCAGTGGTTCAGGTGTTCCAAAATCATCTGGTTCTATCTCCCACTCATCGTGCCAGGCTTTCGTGGTGACGGCGTCTTCGTACGCTTCGATTCGGGCATCCGTCATAGACTGTTCATAATGGGAGCCCTTCAGAGTGTCTTGCGTCTTTCCTTTGTTGGTTTGGTATCCATGGTGACAGCCTTGACTTCGAGTGCGTTGATTGTAGCTGAATACTGTATGTGTGCGTACGGGTTCATCCACACGGAAATTTCGTGTCAAGTGCGGGTTTCTTTGGCTCTGCGAGTATGCTGATGATTCAACCATCGTGGGTGGGAGGACTGTGTAGCGATGTGTTTTTTTCTGCGCAAGGTTGGGTTAGGACAATATGTCATTCACGCGCAGTGCGGTCCTCTGCCTTCTGGTCGACCTTGGTTCGAAAGGTCGCTTTGTGGCCCTCAAGCCCACGGAGAGTGGCTTGTAGCTACGATACTATTGCACGCTGTGCCGTACAGTACTTCTCTCACTGTCTCCGTTTTCACCATGGTGATATGACTTTAGGCGGTGATAGGCGGGAGAGACAAACGAGACTGCTGATCCATGGTGCGCCATTGTCCATTCCAGCCGTGCTTTTGTTTATGCACAAAGGGTTTGCATGACCCTCGTCGGCAGGTGCGTGTTGACCGAGAGCTCCCATGGTTCGTATGTCACAGTAGCGGCCGTGGGTAATGACTTGCCCTGTGGCCAATCGGGTGTGCGCTACCGTTGGGCGCGCGCCCGGGCAGCATCGGCAGCCTCGTGCCTGCAACCGCCAAAACTGATGAGCACATGAGCGTGAGAGTGAAGGTAGGATGTGAAAATGAAAGGTGAAGAAGAAGACAACGGCGTGTGGAGCAATGCGTGAGCAATGCGGGGTGGACACGCGGAGTGGACAAAGTGTGTTTGACATTACTACTACGTGAACGGATGGCCCAACACAGGCTCTCATGTGCAATACGACATAGGCAGTTTACGAATCTTTTGCGGCTTATTGTACGATAATTATCGAGACATGAGAAAAGTGCTAGAGTCGCCCATCACATCACTTACAAACGAGACAAGCCGAAGTTCCAGAGGAGATCGACTCGACGCGTCCAGACGCGTTGATGTGGTGGCTGGAGCACTAGGAATGCTAACGCGTTGGCTGTTGAGACCTAGCCTCCCACATCCGCCCAAATTCAGCATAGGGCACACGCTAGAACTCACATCCGTCTCGATCCTGCTGATCGTTATAACCAGATCGCAAGTTGCGATGGCGACAACTCGTAGCCTGAGACCCCAGATCTATGTGAATCGATTAGATATAGTAACAAGCACTATAGGAAGGCCACTGCTGGAGCATGTGAAAACAGTTCGACTGACTTTGGCAGGACAGAGACAAGCGTTGAACAGGTTATCGCCAAAGCAACGAGCAGCATGCGCGACCATACTTACCCAACGAACAAATGTGCATCTACTACGTTTGCAGAGTCAGTGGAGGAGGCGAGACAGACAAGGAATGAGAATATGTCAACAGATCACGATAAATTTACGAGACTTGATCAAGTAAGTTGCTACGCTACGATTCGCCTACATCCATCACTAGCAGACATATTCCCTGGCACGACAGAGAAGAATCAGAAGCTATCACAAGAATGCGAGGGTACCAGATGCGCGTATAAGCTATTGCCGCGAACAGTGCGGGATATGCCATTCAGCGTTATGGTCGCTGACAGTGGTTGCGCTCGGTTCGCAAATCGAAATGGTCTTCGTCTCCAGAGGCGCCTTCTTCTGTCATTCCAATATTGTCTTCGTCTTCGTCCTCGTCGACGGCATCACCTATATCCACGTTCTGTTTGCGGCCGAGTCGGCGCATCTGCGCTGCAGTCAAGAACTGCTTCTTATGAGTTAGAGTGTTTTCTGCGCCATCAATCTCATCTTCCAGGCCTTTCTCTTCCTCATTAGCTTCTGGGACCTCTTCAGCGATATATGAGCCACTGAGTGGTCGGTTGCGAGTAGAGGTGCGAGTTGCAACAGCGGCTTTCTTATTCCACCTCTTAGGTACAGCATAGGTGTCTCCATCAGACTCCGAGTCCAGGCCTTTGGGCAGGATCTCCTTGCGAAGGTGAGATGAGGACGGCTTCTTTAGACGATGAGCATGCGCTTCTAGTGGAGGCTTCTTGCTGCGTCTGAATATTCGCCTGCTCGGGATTTGTCCGTGATCTTCGTCATTTTCAGTAGTACGTTTGCGCTTCGATGACCCGCCAGTCTTCTGCATGAAATCATCTCCATCCGACATATCATCTTTGAAGGCACACTTGCGCTCGCCGCCCTTCTTAGTCGTAATTACTGGCTCATCATCGTCCTCGGTATCCAGATCCGAATCCGAATCTTCTAGACCCTCTCCAGAGTCTTCTTCAAACTCCTCACCCAAAACCTCTTCTTCGTCGGAATCCACTATGAAGCCCTTTTTTTGTCTGTTGAAGTGCCCGAGATCTTCACGCTGTCGTGCGCCGGCTCGTTTAACGTTTATGCGCTTCTGTTCAGACATGTGTCTCAAGATGGCGGCCTCGTCTCGGTGCTCGCGATGTACAGCAGCAGCACCTCCGAGTAGAACAACGAGTTTCTCGAAGTCTTGTGGATATCTCCAGCTTTCGTCGTTGTGCTTCACACAATATGCCACACATCGAGTAAGGTCTAGTGCATCGTACCCTGATGGCATGGTCTTGACACCATTTGCCATGTCGTGAAACGAGATGCGAGGCAGAGGTTGCGTTGTAGCAACAGCAGATTGACGAGAGTTGAAATTGATAGGAGTGCGAAAGCCTGCTACGCTAACACTAAATGGATCAAATGCATTAGGCTTCTTTATAGCTGCGTGCTTGGCAACTGTCCATTTCTCGTAAGTCGGATCAGCCTTTGCACGATGGTCCATAGGTCCCTTCATCATGCGGTAGATGCTGTTGTTTCCTATAGGCCCATATGGCATGTGCCGGTATCGATTGATAAGGGTTGCGAACGTTCCCGAAGTAGCGCCGTTGTAGAGAAAGCGGTCCATCATATCGTAGGATTTGATAGCGTGCGGAACAAAGGCAGTTATCTCTACCAAAGTGAGGTTGCCATGGGGAAGATCCAACCAGGCCGAGGGCGCATCCCTCAACCTGTCGTAGCTTGCAGAACCGAAACCGGTAGACTTCTTTCCCTTAGAGGGCTGCCTGCTCTTCGCAGTCTTACTGGAAACGACCTCTATGTGGGTGGCAGACCCTTCTTCGGTGGCCTTGAATTGGTAAATAGGTGGTGCTGTATATTCTATACCGTGCCTCGCAACCTCAGCGCGTAGTGGAAACCATTCGAGCTCCTCTGGAATGTTGTCCTCTTCCTTGTACTCTATAGCATCTTCTGTTCTCTCAGCATACTGGTTGAAGTTAGTGACTGCTTTATTGAGACGATGCTTATTATAAGCATCCAGGATGGAGCGCTCGATTTTCAAGGCTTGAAATAGCAACCTTATCGGAACAACCTCCTGCAAGTTGCAGTCCATGAGATTCTCCCGGAATAGCACTTGGAGTTCGTCGCGTAAGAAAGTGATGTTTGCGAAGAGAATTCCAGCATTCAATTGTGCTATGTTGAACATGTCTTGAATCTCATGCCGTGTGAAGGTAGGTGGAGACATTATTGATGATCAGTCTTGTCTGAACAGCGGAGTTGAAGGACCACCTTCCTGGGCATAGGTTGATTTTTGATGACTGAGTCAGTAGTCACCTTACTAGCAGTATTTTATAGTTAGAAATGATATACAGACCCTCAGATCGAATCCAGTACCGACACAAAGTGGAGTGAATGAGTACAGATCATGTAGGAGCTAGAGGGGTAGCTCTCTTGCTCGCAGTAAATCTTCGGATGTACCGTGATATATCAGGCTAGAGAAAGACTTCTCAAGTCATTCACCGAGTAGCGAATACTGGCTAGCATTGTTGCTAATTTTCGACCCGAATGTGAAAGTCATTGTATGTGTAGTGAAAAGATCACGATTGGAGAGAAACAGTGTAAGAGAGATCTAGACGACAAGGAAACAAAGATGCCCGCTTGTACATTGTTCGTCCCTTTGTCTAATCATGCTGTGAACACTTAAGACCATTTGAGATCCCGAGGTGGACTTAAGTCAGGTCTGAGGTTCGAGAGTTGGCGAAGCCATCTTGTGTGTATAGACCTTGATTGCTTCTCCGTGTTGTGGAGCACTTGAAATGGGATAAGTTGAAGCTTGTCTCAAGTAAGTAGAATGCAAGGTCGCGCTCCTATACTGTACTTCCGGTGTAGTGCTTTTACTGCGGAGTTTCGCTGCAACGTACCCAAGTATGAGGGCTCTTTGAAGTACTTGAGATTGCACCTGAAATTCTGTAGGAGTTTCATGCATGTCCTTCCATCCTGCATCGCGGGCCATATGAATGAATGAGTGGATTGATAGGCATACATTCGTCGAACATAGTATCCAACGTCGTTCGATAGACGCTTCGGCTTGACCAGTGCTATGATGGGCAGGATATCCTTGCCCTACAAAGTTCAGGCATCCAGCAAACTAGAACGTACACCTCGATCCTTGGGGCCGGGTGTCACGGTTGCGTTGGCACGGGAAAAACAGACTAGTCCAGATGCATACTAGCGTTCTACTCTTCGGAGATGGTTCCATGCTCTATGTGCAATCTTCCCCTCATCTTCTTGTCAGTCCGATCGGTACGTCAGACCTGTTCTACTGTGTTCGGTATGGGTTAGTACTGGCAATCTTTGTAATGACTGCTCCCGTTCGATGTCCATCGTGGTGCTACTGCAGGTGTGCTTTGCGAAGGGCACCCTTGGAACTCAGCCACGCGGCTTAACTCACTACGCCGCAATCTATATATGCAATTGCTACAACACAACAGACTGCGCTCGGTCGTACATCAGCCGAAATATCGTACATCTTCATGAAAATCAGTATGTAAGACAACATATGACGTTACTACCCCTCGCCCAGAAATGCCATGGAAGACCTAATGCAGAACCGGCAGGTCAAGACTACCACGACTTGGGGAAATACCCCAGTTGTATCTTATCCACGATTAAGCGGGCTCTTGGGCAACATCACCCATGTCACAGTGCGCACGTTGAGCCGCCAATACTCATGGTCATGGCTTGGGAAGACATGCTTTGTGCTTATCATGGTACCAACAGACGGGCGGTACGCCAAGTTGTTGGACATGCAAAAAGTATAAAGAACCCGCACTCTACGCAGCTCAAGTACCTCACGCTTTTCAGTTGACCACTTCCTCAGTGGATCATCATCATGAAGTTCGTACTCAGTCTTGCTTGGCTATCACTCGCTACGTGTGCCACGATCCGTAGCCCCCAACCCGTCTCATATGATGGCTACCAGGTCCACCGCCTCCAGTCTACTGGGTCTCAGTATGCGTCAGCAAAGCGGGCGCTTGCTTCCATTCCTCACGAGACCTTGAACGAAGTTCGTGGAACTTGGGATGTTCTCATTGCACCCGAGCAATTGGACGCCTTCAATGCACTGGGGCTCAAATCTCGAACTCTGCACGAGAACCTAGCCGATTCTATTGCCCGAGAGTCTTATGTCAAGAAGGCCTGGAAGAGGCAATCGAATGGGTCCGAAGATGCGTGGTTTGATAGCTACCATCCATATGAAGACGTGGGTGATCTATTACCCAGATTTGAACCAAAACTAATCAACTCTCCATAGCACATTAGCTGGTGGCGCGATTTACAGGAGTCGTTCCCGGAGCACTCAAACTGGACGAGCACTGGAACATCTTACGAAGGACGCGACATGTTCGGCGTTCATCTCTGGGGAGCTGGTGGTCCTGGAAAGCCTGCAGTCATCTACCAGTAAGTGTCCCTGTACGAATTGCATATGAAACATATACTGACTTTGTACACCCACGCTTAGCGGTACTGTGCATGCCCGTGAGTGGATCACTGCACCAGTCATCGAATATATCGCGAAGCAGCTTGTCGACGGATACAAGGCAGGTGACAACGACACGCAAGCCGTCTTGGACAACTACGACTTCTATATGTTCCCATTCGTCAATCCTGATGGTAAGCCATAGTACTCCGATCAAACTTGATGGTTTTCGCTTATCAGTCGTAGGATTCGTCTTCTCTCAAACTGACAATCGCTTGTGGCGCAAGAACCGTCAGCCACCACCAGAAAACGCTGCCAACCAGACGTGCTTTGGTCGTGACGTGAACCGAAACTGGGAGACGTGAGTGATGGTTGTCTTTGAGCCGTTGCGATATGCACTGACCCGTAGTCTCAGGAACTGGGATGCTGACCCGCGCGGAGCTTCGCCAGACCCATGCTCGCAAACCTACAGGGGAGAAGCGCCCCGCGATACGCCTGAGAACCAGGGCATGGACAACCTGATTCGAAAGATACGCGATGAGCAAGGCATCAAGTTATACATCGACTGGCATAGCTACTCTCAACTTATACTGTACCCGTTCGGCCACAAAGAAACCCTGTACGCACCAGAACTCGGCATGTGGACTAAAGCTGCTGCTTTGATGAGCGATACCATCCGCTACTACTCGACCAATGCAACTACGTACGTCTTCGGTCCTAGCGGAGCGACCTTGTACCCGACGACTGGTGCATCGATCGACCATGTCTACACTATTGGTCGCGCTAAGTTTTCCATGACCATCGAATTACCCGACACCGGAGACTTTGGTTTCGTTCTGCCCCCGGAGAGGATCCGACCTGCGGCGGAGGAACAGTGGGTTGGTCAACAAGTGATCCTCCAACTTTTGGACGAGGAGTTCTTCGATGGAGATGGCCCAGCGATTGGTGCCTTGGGTACGACCTGGTAGAAATGAGTAGATATTACTCAAACTTGTTATGTCCAGCGGTGAAGGTGAAACTACTATCTCTTTTCATCCTCACCTTCTTCTCCACAAATTTTAGCATCGCTGTTCTCATTATCACTCCTCTTACTCATTGTGATGCTAAATGGGGGATTACAACCTCTAGTCGCCCGACTTGCACTGTGCTTTTCTTGATTCTCGCTCCTCAAATTACCAATAACGACAGCCAACACTATGGGGAAATCTTACCGCACGCCCTCTCCTACCAGAGAGCCGTACATAAGCTCAAGTGAGTTGGCTGAGCAAACATATGATTTGCGAAATGGATACTTATTCATGGGCAGGCAACGTTAACTCACCCGCTAGAGATGACTGCGTCGACCAGATCCTAGATGGTGAAACCACTACCCCCAGCAGCAAACCTTTCCAAGAGTCAGCATTGATGGGAGAGCCACATACACCCAGGAAGAAGCGCAATCCAGTGCTCTGGCATGGTTTGCCATCTCCAAACACCCCTACTTTCCGCAGTGATACGCACTATACACCATCGGTCGGCTCCGCGAAAGAAGAGCTGGCTTGGCAAACCACTCGGGGACAAACTAAAGACGCTGTCGACCAGCACTCTATACTGATTCAGCATTGTACCGATACGGGTAAGAGGGAAGCCGAAGATGTCAACACTACAATTTTGCGAGCAGTTGAGGATGCTACTCAAAATGATGCAGTACTTGCTCGCGAGCTCGAACGCCCGATCAATCCAATAAAAGTTCGCCGGAGTACTAGACTGCGTACGCAGGCGAAACCAATCTGTAAGTCCTTCAAATGCTAGCATTGTCAGCGCTCCAGCTAATCAGCTGTTTTTGATCAAGACACTGTCCAGCTACCGGCTACAGACCCAAAGACTGCTCGGAAATCACCACCTTCACCAGCGACACCCGATCGTGACGAGCATGCTGATTTCAGTGTTGTACCTATCAAGAGCGATCCGGTTCCCTTCGAGGGGCTACCGACTATGCATTCTCTCTCTTGGCAACTACAGTATCCTCCAGGAGGAAGCACACATCCCTCATATCCATACCCGGCAATGGACCCGCGTCTCCTCTTCCACCAAGCGTTCGTTCCTATCGTCGGTGGCCTCCCAGACTTTACACTTGTCCCCAAACTCGTACTTCCGATGGGATGGAAGCATGTCTCCTGGTCCGGACTTCTTCTAATAGCTTTCGATCCGTACCGTCAAGCGTTTAAGTTGACTCCTGTTGGAGCAATACCGCTTACCCGTGAGGAGCTAAAGCAGCAAGGATTACAAAAGTACGTACCAGGTGGCGAGTTGCACCCTGAGTTCGGCTTGTTGCCTGAAATGCTCAAGCTGAGTGACGGAAGTGACGCCGAGGTGTACAATTTCGATGGTGTGGATTGGACACTGCCGTGGGAAGGGCAAGTGGATTTCCACGCCCCTCGTCGCACCATAGACCAGCAATGTAATGGCGGTGGAACCAACAGCCCCACTAATTCGAACACCTTCATACCCATGATTACTTATCCATGGCGCGAGGCTCGCGATTGTCCGAATAAGATCTTCGACCTCAGCGACGCTTGGCGTTGGCTATCAGAAAAAGAGACCAACCATACCGCTGACTTCATCCCCACGCCAGAGAAGAAATTGCACGGAAGCGGAGCATTTCGTTCAACACGCAAGCTCAAGTCGCCTATCCCCGAGCTTATGATGCTTTCTATGCAGTCGACCCCTACTACACCAAACATCCAACTCAATCCGCTGCTTCAGAACCAAGACTCTATGAAGGACAAGAACCAGTTCTGCCCATTCAAGAGTGTTGCAACACCTTGCACTGTGAACATCGCCCTTATTGAGGATACGGAGTTCACAATCATGGAGTTGCTGTCTTACTTTCCGCAGCATTACTATTGGGGTCACGCAGCGGAGCGCATGGCAAACGCTGGCGTGACAGGGAGTATGATACGGGAGTTCCTTATCATGACGCGAGGGCTTCAAGGCGATGAGGTGGTGAAGCCAGGTAGTATCTCATGTGCTGCTATGGCTGCAAGGAAGAGGGACTGCACCAAGCTCGAGGAGGTTGAAGAAATGGACATCGACGAAGTCGGCAAAGACACACCTACACCTTCACCCGCTCTCAAATCCTCAGTCATCGACATGACCACGAACCATACGGCTGAAGGATGGGTCTACGATGTTTGGGAGAAGATCGATTACCCACTTCTCGCCCTCGCCCACGGCTTACAGTCGTTGCCTACTGGCCCGGACGCCGGACCACTGACAGCACTCATACTCTGGTGCAGAGAGAAAGATCAATACCGAGCTCTATTAAGCGATGTACCTACGCTATTCCGGGCAGCAGATATTAAACCGCTTATCGAATCCGGTGACGATGGATGTCCGGACAGAGAATTCGCAGGCAGGCATGCTGGATCGTTGAAGAAGGATAGGTTGAGGGTAGTTCGAGACGCTGGTACTCACAAGAGGGCACTTAGTGGAAATGTAGATGATAGCCAGGGAAAGAGGAAGAGGCTTGGGTAGACGGCCTGCGGGATCATTCAAATCTCTCAAAGGAGGTGAGAGGAACGCGGATTGCAACTGAAGAAGTCTCGGAGAACATGTTGGGCTCGGTCAGGCGTTTTAGCTGTGACGATGCCCCACGAATGGTATCGCCATCAAGGTTACTTGCCGATCGCCATCTTGTAGAAAACTGAAGACTACTTGAAAATATGAATTGAAGAACAAAACGTTCTGCATGAAGACGCTGAGATTTTATACGCAACGGCTGAATTCGGTAGGAGGGTGACTATAGCAACTCTTCACGCCACGGTGTTCTAGATACCTGTGTCCGATACCATGCGAGGTCTGTACACGACGTCCATATCCGATCTTCTGAAGATCGAGCGCATCACGACTCTGGCTTCATTGCATAGGTATGCCTGGTAGGGGTCCGAGTCCGCACTACAACGGGTCAGCACTCTCTACTCATTCCTCACATCTGTACTTACAGCAGGTGCCGGCGATGGACATCCGCCCTTGGAGCTTAGATAGCAACCCATAGCAGCAGCTTGTTTCATCAAGCACCTCTCATTCGCGCTGAGCAGGTTCATTGGCACAACCGGCATTGCGCATTCACAACCCTCCTTAAAGGTAGGTGTTGGCTCTTTGTGTCTGTTCCTGTGCGTGCGATTGTGTTTTCGCACACCACTTGGAGTTGGAGCAAGACTGGCTTGTGGTGCAGCCCAAGGGTAGGGCGTTGCGACAGCGGCGGTAACGAATAAGATGGTCGCCATGAGGGTTGATATATGCATCTTGAGCGGTATGGGCGTTTGATAAGCTTCAAAACGATCTGAAAGTAAAACTGTGTAAGATGCAGGCAGCCAAGAGCTTTGGATCTTTTGCAGATGATCAATCTTGTAGGCACCGCGAGTGCCACGCGGCAGAAGGCCTCTTCTATTGACAATTCGCAGTTCAGTACGCGGCGCAATATGTATTGATGAAGTTCCATCTAAACTTGCGTCGTCGTTGACCAGTGACGTGCTGCCGGTTAAACACACATATTCGAATACGGAAGTGCCATGGCGTCGACAAGCGACAAGGATTTTTCTTAGCTCTTCAAGTCAGCTCCCTACGAAAGTGCTGGAATGTGAAGCTCGAAAGTTCAAGAGGTGTCTTGCTATGTTGAAGAGCTTTCAAGCTTTTCTTTGTGAGTTGGTCAAAAGCTTTCGCATGCCACCGGATTCGCTAGATGTGACGAATTCTGTTGATTACGACGACGCCACATTCTCCTCTGTGTTCTGGTCGCCAATATCGTGGTCTAAGGCCCGTATCGTGTTGAATCGATTTCTGCTTCATCTAATCTTTTGGGATAATGATCTTAACCTAAGGTTTGCTGAGCTAGAAGACCGTTCGGAGTAACACTACTCTGTACCTGAGGGGACGAATTGATTATCAAACTTTGGATTCATAAGCTTGCATGAAGTAAATCGATAAGTTCAGCAGAGTGTGTGGCCTATAAAATCATGACACCAATTTCGATTGGTAGACGCCATCCGATGCGGACGCATACTCGATTAGATACTTCTCGTTGGGCGAGCCTGAGTAGGTATCTGTAGGTATGGGCATATTGTTCATACACACACTCTCTTCGACTCTTCGCAAGGATAGGCATTCATCGCTTCAAGCATACGCCGAGTACCTCCAACGAGACCTCAAGGATGAAACTGGTGTACGTTTTTCTCTAGTCGCTTCCATGATACGAGACTATACAGTTATCTCTCAAACGTTGAACCAATCTTGAGGCCTGTATACTCATGTTGGACCCATACTGGGTCAAAGGTTACTGCCTTTTCTGAGAGATGCAAGTTCTCCGATGGTCCTGGAATAGTGTCCAAACCTGGAACTTCGATGAAGGTTCATCTCAAAGCAAATCAGTCGATATCGAAGTCGTCATGATCTGTTCATACTCGCATGTGTTTGGGATATGGTAGGCTTGGTAAGACAATGGTCTGAATCGAAGCATGAGCAGATGGCAGTGTTGAGCGACAAAGACAGCGCCAAAAGCTGCCTTCCTCGGCAGCGTCTTGGCACCCCCTCCACCCCCCATTGGCCCCATCACCCATCAATCTACTCACTTTAGAACTTCCTGCACGGTCATCTACACATATCCATCGATGCAATAACACAATGGCGGCTTCAGAGACCCAAGGTGTATCTTATGAAGCTGAACACGTCCATTCGGTCTACGAAGAAATTGCGTCGCACTTTTCGTCCACTCGCTACAAGGTGTGCGTCCACCCTTGCTACTAGTGGCATAAATCAGAAAGAGAGCATTCATGACTAACAAGATATCAGCCATGGCCTATCGTCGAACGTTTTCTGAAGGAACAGTGTGATGGCGCTATAGGTGCCGATGTGGGATGTGGAAACGGAAAATACTTGGCTGTTAATAAGAAAGTGTGGATCGTGGGTAGTGACCGGTAAGTTTGAATGACTGTTTCGAGCATTACGAATAATTGTTCTAGGGTTAACGAAGATGTAGATCAACAAACCTTGTCAAGATTGCCAAACAACATGAGCCGCACGATGTGGTCGTAGCAGACAACCTCTCGCTACCTCATCCAAATGGTGTATTTGATTTTGCTATTTCGATAGCGGTCGTGCATCATTTATCTACGCCAGCAAGGAGGGTGGAGGCCGTGAAATGTGTTTTGGACCTACTGCGGCCATCATCATCATCATCATCATCTCATGGGAACGGTGATGGTAAGGTGGAAGGTGGTAGAGCACTGATCTACGTTTGGGCACTCGAGCAAAAAGATAGTCGAAGAGGATGGGACGAGGGTCACGAGCAGGATGTCATGGTGCCGTGGGTCTTGAAGCAGAAAAAGGACAAGGAGAAAGGACGGAAGAAGAAGGATGAGAGTCAAGCTCACGAAGAAGAGGCGCCGAAGCCAGATGGTGACAAGACATTCTTGAGATATTATCACCTGTATCGGAAAGGGGAGCTTGAGGGTGATATTGAGCAGGCTGGCGGAGTGGTGTTGGAATCGGGCTACGAGAAGGATAACTGGTGGGCTATTGCGAGATTACGATAACCACCTCTATGATATCTGAATTGCTGTGCTGTACGTCGTGTGCGACTGTACGGTGTAACTCTGCGCGTCCCCTTTTCTGCGTTCCGAAGACACCAAGCACGCAGATGTCCTTACTACTTACTCAAGTCAACAGGCAGAGCATGGCTGCTCTCGGTCAGCGGAAACAGCTGATGATAGAAGCCTAGAGCGCCAGCTACGAGTACGAGGTAATAGGCTACTGTCCATCCAACACCCTTCCCTTGATAAGCTGGAACATTCCTTTGCTCATCATCTTTCTTATCGACATCTGGCGGTCCGATGGGGATGCCAGCTTCAACTCCCACACGACCGTAGAAGCGTGGAAGCCCCATCCAGTTGCAAAAGGTATGCGCTAGCATGCACGTGTACACATTTCCAGTCCTGATGAAGACGAAGGCGGCGAAGAACCCGAAGAGCGATGTGTATGTGAACTGGAAGAGTGAACGAAGCACGGCGATGAAGAACGGGACTTCAGAATGGGTTATGCGGAATTCGTAAAGGTGGTGCAGATGCGCGATGCCGAAGTACAGTGGTGTGAGGAACACGATTTGCTTGCCGGAGAATTGGGCGAGGACATGGAGGGGGACGATGAAGGAGCGCCAGACGAGCTCTTCACTGACGGGGCCCTGGTGTGCGAGTGTTAGCGGAGCAGGAAATAACTCGAAATAGACAACGTACGACTACAAAATTCCGGTATCCGATCCAGCTACTCAAGGACTCGTTGACACCGTTTAGCTTGATCCAGTCTCTCCAACCATCGTCTACAATACCATGCTCGAAGATTGGGCCTGCGAAGAGGATCACGACCAACAGCATGGTCCGGATGGTATCTACGGGTGAAACAGGCCATATGCCAAGCAGGCTGAGGATCTCCATGGCGGACGCATCATGTTGGTAGAGTACGATTACGGTGAGGACAGAGCATAGGGCAGTGGAGAAGGTAACTGCGCGTACACGGGCGCGTATCGACGACGGTGCATCGCGCGTGAGAGTCGGAGAGGGTCGCGTTGCAGGCGACAGGTAGAAGGGGATTACGTAGATGAAGACATAGGCAGCCTGCAGTCGCGTGTGTTAGCCATATTTAGGCGCAGGTGTTGGCTGTACTTCAGCATGTTTGGCGCATGCGGTGCGATTGGGTGAGAGGAAGGGCAATGGTGGTGGGGGTGGGAGCTTGAAACAAACGTACCGACAGAAGCGCCGCAGCACTCGCAGAGAGGACGGGCGGTTTGGGGACTGACGACACGTTAGACTCCATGGCAATGTTTCGACGAAGAAGCGCAACAGAGTTGGTCCGATGTGGGTCGCGCAGGCGTTTAGGAGGGTTTGAAGTCAAAGGGAGCCCTCACAGGCCAATGGATCGTCACTTACCGCCCTTGACATGTCGCTCGTACAAGTCCTCGAGCGCGCTGAGCTTGTCTCGCCAGCCGTTGAGGGGCGGAGGCATGGCAAGATGTTGCAAAAAAGCAGCAACTCGTCAAACACGCTATACTTGGACTAGGAAAAGAACCATGAGCGAGCTGTTATACCTGACCTCGGCCCCCCCGCGTTGTCGCGAGCATGTTGTTTCGCACAGGACAGCCCCCGACTATCGATAAACCGCCGGCTCCCAAATCGCCCTCGCACGCTGCTGGTCACGTGCGCCCGATCGTCCGTTCGTCTCGGCTCCTGTCACGTCCCAGGCCCTCTGCCAAAACCCCCGGCGACTTAGCACGACCTCCCGCGTTACCCCTGCAGGACGCACACCGCAAGGCCCACTGGCCAGCTTCTCTGCCACTCAACGGCTAGTCCGGATCGCTGCTCGTCGTCACTGGCCCGTCCTAAAATATAATTTCATTTTAACGTTCAACCGCGACGCGCCTCTGGCGACCTGCTAGGAGAGCCGTTTGGACGAGGGTTCCCCGGGCGCATCGCATCGTCGCGTGGACCGCGCATCCAGAAGCTCATATCCTTCAGTCGCCATCCGCATAGGCTAGACAAAGGGCATATTGTGCGCATTGGGGACATCTCTGTACAAGTCATCATAATTCGCGGGTCGTGCTCCATCGCTTGCCGGGGCTGAGCTGTCAATTGGATCGCACCTGCAGCGCGAACCTGCTTCTGCATAGAGCCACGAACCCTCTTTAGGCCGAGCTGCTGCCAAACGCCCGTCTTCCTCGATTCACCACCACTCCTCGCCCTCTCTCCATCAATTCTTCTTACTGTTAATGCCTGCGGGCCGCCATTCTTTTTGATATGTTTTAGCACTTTTGTCACTCATTGACTACCTTCACACACGGTCTTTACGTCCTCTTTTTACTGCCTTTCTACCCATTCCCCATCATTAATGATCGGTTTCGACTTCTCCGCAGCACGCGTTTACCAGCCCACATATCGGCATCCTCGGCCCACCACACCACCACAGCATGTCCTCATCACAACACCGTCGCGCAGACTCGCAAAACAAACTCGAACAAGGTCCCAGATTTTCGCCGCCACAATCGCAGTCGATAAACTCGTCTCCTGTCCGCAAGCCACTTCACGAGCGCTCAAACTCGCAAACCAATCAACACTCGGGTTCCACCATCCGCATAGTTCAAGATCCCGGCCATGACATCTATCAGAAATATCCCGTACCCAGCGAACCCTCGCAAGTTCTGCCCCCACCCCGTCATGCGCCAGGTTATGGCTTTGAGCGGCCGGGATCTCACGTTTCAAATGTCAGCCAGGTCGCCAGTACCATTGCAAAGTTCGAGGCGAGCCGAGCGCGAACACCACAGCCTATCCTGTCACGCAAGAAGGGTTTCAGACACTCGGGCTCCACTAGCATGTCTGAGGAAGATACCCTCATAGCATCTTCCTTTACGCCATCGACTTTAAGATTTTCCCAGGGGAGCACTGCCCCATCCTCACCCCCACCCGAATTAGAAGACGACGCAAAAGGGTTGGAGGTACTTGAGGAAGTCGTATCCTCACAGTCCCAAAGGCCAACCATCCGGGCTGTTCCTCCATCTTCTTCTGGCGGTGATTCCGACCGTGCATTAACCCCCAAGGCCTCTGCTGCATCTTTTGCCTCACCCGCTCCTCCCGCCTCATCACACCCAAACAGTAATGTCGGAAACTCGCCAAGTGTCAGTGTCGGTCGACCGTTACCGCAAACTCCGTCAGCCGAATCCCAAGCTAGGGGGCCTGCTCTCACTAGTGACACTGACTATCGACAACCTGTATTGAATCCTCAGCAAAGTACAGAGTCGTTCACGTTTTCTGATATTTCCTACACCAGCATCGAACCAACACATACACTCGCTTCATCACAGCCATCGCCATCTCTTCATGAAGCAAGCACAGCATCCTTTGCGAGCGGCATCCGAATTAATTATCCCGTCGTACGCGCGCCGTCGGCCAGCAGCTCGCGAGCTGATTCCCAAAACACGCCTAATATTGCATCCCGGATGCATGACCCCTCGCTGGTCCACCACTGGAGCTCCCAGCTATCGACCATCGCTTCCGTGTCCGAACGTGATTCGCGATCCCTTGCACGAAACTCACGATCAATCGGCGCAAGATCACATTCACAAGAGAGCTATGCGGGCAATGGTCGAACAGCGATTCCACGCCGGAGAGGGCAGACTATTGGGAGCGCACAATCGTCATCGGACAATGTATCGTCGGAAGGTCAAACCGAGTTCTCCTCAGTCGCAGTACCTCGGCCGCTGTTCTCCCCAACCTCCAGAAGTTCGTCCGACGACAACAGTGAGCACATGGATACCATCTCACCGCTGCCCACGTCGATTCCGCTACGGATGAAAAACTCTGGATATCTGCATAGAACGAACAGCGCTGATGCGGTATCAATGAGTGACTCGCGGCCTGGATCCTCGCAGTCCCACATGTCCACGTTCCTAGCAAACAACATCCCGGCATGGGCGAGGGTCTACTACCAAAAAGGAGAGCGTATATCAGTCGGCGCTCCGGAATCCGAGTCTTCTGGTAGCATACGGCTGGGAACCTCTCACAGTGGGCGATCACACACTCCTTCGGAGAGCAACTTTCCGCTCAGCATTTACCGGCCACGGAATCGCCCTCGGAACCGAGCTTCACACGCCGATACCGTCTCTCTAGCTGACGACGTGCACTCCATTGATGGAGCCGTATATGCTGTTGGACCTAACATGTACCCTCTCAGCGGCTACTCAACACCACACCTCCGAACTGACCAGAGAGGTCAAACACGATACAGCGCGTGGAACGCACCATCTCTGGATGACGACATGCACACCACACTTTTCGGGCGTCAAAACAGACAAATCCTACTTTTCTGCATAGGATTTATCTTCCCACCTGGTAAGTACCAACTCTGGCTATAATGCCGGATGTCTATGTATGGAGAGATTTGCTAATTAGGACTACAGCTTGGATAATCGCTTCGTTCCTCCCCTTGCCTCTGGACCCCAATACTGTGGGCACCCCCACTGTTAGCCAGGCCGACTTGGAGCAGCAATTCGCCCAAGCCATGGGTCCCGCCGATGACAAGTCTTTCCAGAAAGCAACTTGGTGGCGCAACCTCAATCGTGTCATGTCTGGAGTAGGGACGCTTCTGATCGGCGTCATCGTTGCGTTGGCCATCCTCGCATCGCGAATGTCATAAGTGACACCCACTTTTACACTCGGGCGAACCGATTCCACCACGATGTCGTCGCCGAACTTTTCCATTCACATCCGACATTTGCACGCTGTGCACTTGCATTACGAACCATTTTACGAACATAATCATGTCATCACGCAAGTGTTAATGTTTTTCTGGCTCCGTCACACGGCAGGTGCTTTCTCTTCGACATCTAATTGATCTCGTTTCGAGTACGTTGTCTTGTCTACGCACAGCCGCTGTTGTATATTTCTCGCATTTCGATTCTCCGCGCGTATCGTGTACGGCATGCTGCAGTTTAGCGGGCGTTCTCTTTTTGCTGCTTGTTCTAGTATGGCCGACAGCGTATTACCCATTTGCTTTGCAATATTTGGCCATGTCAGCCACTTCACAATATCACTATCTTCGTGTTCCATACTTGTTACTTGTCACCTGTCACATCGTCTTGGGAGTTTGAAATAAGACAAGGATGTCGTCGAGGTGGCTGGGAATCTGAAGCGTAGCGTCAACCGTGCGCTGCTCCTGGATAATATCGTCGCGGCTGGGGCTTGACGAACTATATGATCTTGTAATTATTATCATGCGTTCTACGTCAACTGTACGATGAGACGTCAATATAACGATTACCTTCTCTATTACATTGCGCCCCGGACTGATCATCGCAGGGTTGAAGTTACGAAAGTTGTGAGCTCCAGTATGGTCAGCCCACAGAGGACGGCAATGTCGTGACATATGTCAAGTGGAGCGTCGCACCGTGCGCTTGCTCATAGCGGATGCTCTGATCAAGCCTCGAACACTTTCATGGACTTGTGTCGCTTTTGATCAATGCTCCGAAAGTTTATCACCGAGCTTTGCGGTTGTTGCTAAGCGCAGTGTCGCGTTGCCATGAGGCTGCATGTTGCGAAATTGACGAGTGCACAGCCATGTATTGCAGATGTCAAGGACGGTGGCTTGCTTCACGATAATGGACGTGCGATCCCAGTAACACGTCCAAAGTACGCACGGTGACGGGTACGAGTCGCAGCACGTCGACAAGACGAACATGTCATCTCATCCGACGAACTCGCCAAGTGATGACTCTTCAGATTCACAGTCATAGCAGCACGAGCATGTAGATGCAGTGGCGAAGTTCGCAGTGGGACTTTGCTCATATGCAGGGTTCACTCAGGATGAGTCGAACTGCGCTAGCTCCGATTGGGTAGCGGGGCTTATGATGTCGCTCTTTACAAAATAGTCCCGCCTTCACAGTTTCTGCAGATTCACGACCAGCTTACCCACCGCGCACTAAATACCCTTGCCTTCTTTCTTCTAACCACCCCAAAGAGCCTCACAAAAAGACCCCAACGTCGATTCAACAATCATGGCTGTTCGCGCTCAGTTCGAAAACTCCAACGAAGTCGGTGTCTTCTCTACACTCACAAATGCGTATGCGATTGTCGCAGTCGGCGCAAGCGAGAACTTTTACAGGTGCGCATAGCTCAATAGCTGTTCCCGGCTCGATGTAGTGCGGTAGCATGTTATGCGACCGTGGCGAGCATACACTGCGAAAAATATGTACTGACAGTGGCGCGACAGTGTCTTCGAAGCAGAACTTCAAGATGTCATCCCCATCTGCCACGCCACCATTGCTGGAACCAGAATCGTCGGCAGACTGACTGCTGGGTATGTATCCCGACTTGTGGCATCATGTCATATTCAACCAATGCTACAGGAGAATACTCTAACACATTCCCAGTAACAAGAAAGGTCTCCTCGTTCCCACCACAACCACCGACCAAGAACTCCAGCATCTCCGAAACTCCATACCCGACGAAGTCAAGATTCAGAGAATAGAAGAACGATTATCAGCCCTTGGCAACGTGATATGTTGCAACGACCACGTTGCTCTCGTACACCCGGACATCGAACGCGAAACGGAGGAGATAATAGCTGATGTACTAGGTGTCGAGGTTTT